TTGTCCGAGAGCTGCCTGGTGGCCGGGTCGCGGCCAATGGTGGTGATGAACAGCGTTCGTAGATCGGGTCCGCCGAACGCGCACATGGTGGGGCGCGCCACCGGCAGATCGACATACGAAACCAGGGCTCCTCTGGGGGAAAATCGTAACAGCTTGCCTGCTTCGTTGGCCGCTGTCCAAAGAGATCCTTCACTGTCCACGGTCGCACCGTCCGGGCGTCCCGGGTACTGCCTCATATCCACAAACAGCCGTTGATTCGAGATGGTGCCGCCGGCGTTTTCGTAGTCGAAGGCCCAGATCTTCTGCACGTTCCGGTGCGCGTCGGAAAGATACATCGTGTTGCCGTCGGGGCTCCAGGCGACGCCATTTTGTACCAGGAGGCCGGCCAATAGCGGTTCCGAGAATCCGTCCTGGTCGAAACGGAACAGGCAACCCGATGTCGTCCCGTCGATGGGGTCCTTCATGCTTCCGACAAAAAGGCGGCCGTCCGGACTCGTGCAGCCGTCGTTGAAGCGCATGCCTGGGGCCAGGTTCGCCTCCGCATGCAACGTTATGTCGAGCGTGTCGCCAAGTATGGTGAGTCGATACAAACCGGATTCCATTGCGCCTATCAGGCCGCCCGCTACGTGCCATACGATACACCCGATCTTTTCCGGCAAAGGCCAGCGCGTCGTAACCCCGGCGTCGACATCGGTCCTGAACAGCGACGGCCCTTGAACGTCGATCCAGTACAACATCTTTTCGACCGGGTGCCACAACGGACACTCGCCCACCAGGGCTCTCTTCTCACTGACGCGGTGTATCCTGCTCATTCGTGTTGCCTGCGGTGTCATGGGCATTTGACGAAGTCCGTCGCGCTGAGCGCCATCGCCGAGACTTGGGCGGTGGCGGATCAAAAGCGCATAAAGCGTCGCGCCATCAGCAGGGAAACCACCGACAGCACCAGAAAACCGAGAGCAAGAGGCCGAGTGACGAGCGGAAGGAGACTCTGTTCGGCCCCCAGCAGTTTCCGAAGGTTCCCCTCCACCAACGGCCCCAGGATCAGTCCCAATACGAGCGGCGGCAGGGGATAGCGAAGGTGCTCCATGAGGTACCCAAGGCACCCGAAACCGACCATGACCCATATGTCGCCGACGGAGTTGTTCAGCGAGAACACACCGTAAATACACATGGCGAGCAATACCGGATTGAGGGCATAGGGCGGCGTCCGGACCACGTGAACGATGTATCGGCCCACGGCGAAGAGCACGGCCACCATCATCATGCTGCTGATAAAGAGGGAGAAATAGATGCCGTAGAGTATTTCGGGAGTGGAACCAAACAGTTGTGGTCCCGGCTGGGCGCCGTGGATCATCAAACCGCCCAACAGGACCGCCGACGTCGGATCGCCGGGGATTCCGACTGTCAAGGCAATGATCAGGCCGCCTCCGATGGTGGCATTGTTGGCCGTTTCGGAGGCGATGAGACCCTCGATGGACCCTTTTCCGAACTGGTCGCGATCCGCTGAAGCGTTCCGCGCCTGTGCATAAGCGATCAATGCCGCGGGGCCGCCGCCCAGGGCCGGAATCACGCCGACGAACGTCCCTATGATGCCGGACCGGATGTAGTTCATTTTGTTGGCGAGGATGTCTCTGGCCGATGGCAGATAACTTCCGCCGGCGTCCAATTTCAAGTCGGGAGATGATTCGGCTCCGGTGAAGATGGGCGTCTTCATGAGTTGGGAGACGGCAAACAGGCCGATCAGGGCGGGAATGAGCCTGAAACCCGCCTGCAGGTCGGTGAGACCGAAGGTGAAGCGCGGCAAACCGTCTTCCTGCGTCAGGCCGACCGTTGCCAGCAACATACCCACGACGGCACTCAATAGACCGAATGCGGTGGAGGGGCCGGTCAGCGCGGCGACGGAGGTCAGGGCGAAGATGCTGACCGCCGCGTATTCGGCGAAGTGAAACTTGAGCGCGAAGCGCGCCAGCAGCGGAGCCAGTAGTACGAGGAAGATGGCGCCAATGATGGTTCCGAAGAAGAAGAAAATGAGCGTTAGAGGCTCGAAGCGATGATGGGATCAGTTTGTTTGACCGATATTGGCTCGCGTGTGCTTCCTACCCGTCGCTGCGCCAGCGGAAACCCGTCCAGGACGGTTGCCATGGAGGCCGGTGAGCCCAGTGCCGGCACAAGGAGCGGAGCAGGATGGTCGGTTCAATGCCCGCCCGGATTTCCCATCCTCCTCCGACGTAGACCGCCGTCAAGATGGCGAAGGCCTCGTCCGGGGGCATCGTGAAAGTCACCGGAATCAACAGCGCCACCGCAATGGTCGGGCCGAGTCCTGGCGTGATGCCGACGGCGAGACCGCCTGTCACCCCCAACAGGAGCAGAAACAGGATTTTCGGTGAAGACAGCGTTGCCAGGCTGTCCAAGGGAATATTTCCGATCGCCTCCAGCATTCAACGGTCCAGAAGTCCGGGTGGCAACTCGACATCCACCCCCAACTGAAAGACGGCAAAGACGAGGAAGGTCCCTACGACGGCGACAACGAGCCCTCGAAGGGCGGACGAGCGGGGCGCCGACGACCAGCCCAGGGCAAGGAGGAACAGGAACGGCGGTGTCGCCAGCAGGAAACCGATGGGCTCGATGGCAATGAGATAAAGAAGGCTCAAAGCCGGCAGCCTGAAGCTGCGCAGGTCCAGGCGGGCCTGCAAATTCGTGTCAGACGGTCGTGTCAGGGTGATCGAGATCCACGCGGCCAGGCAAAGCAGAACCGCGATCAGGACTCGAGGCCAGAAGGCCATCCCTACCGGATCCCAATGGAACTGCGGCAAGTAAAAACTGCGAACGAACAGAACGGCGCAAACAAGAACCAGAGCGGACAGAAAGACAAAGTGGGCTGAACGTGTTTGGGTTCATTGACGGCTAGGCGGCCTTCAGGGTGAGTGGCCCGGGTTGCGTGGTCAAGTACGCTCCCCGGGCCGCCACCCGCTCCCGGCGCTTCACTGCGGGTCTCTAATCCGGCGAACCACCCAAGGCGGCCCTGGCTACTTTTGAAAACCCAGGCTCTTGGCCAAACTCTCGGTTAGCTCTACTTCCTTCTTGATCAGATCGGCCAGAGCGTCTCCCGGCAAATAACCCCAGTCAAAGCGAATTTTTCGAAGCGCGGCTTGGTATTCCTTGTCGTTGCCGAGTTTCGCCACGGCCTTCGCCAAGATGTCTTTTCTATCCTGCGGCACCCCTTTGGGGACTCCGAAGCCGTAGAAGAGCCTGAACACGAGATCGACCCCTTGTTCCATGGCCGTTGGCACATTGGGCAGGAACGCCAACCGTTTGGGTGACAACACGGCCAGGATCCTCAACTCGCCGGAATCGTGCAGCGCGGCAACGCCGGCAACCGGCTCGATCAACGCATCGACATGACCCCCCAATACCGCAGCTTTCTTTTGCGCGCCACCGCCGGCGTTGACAAGTTTGAGGTCCGTCTTGGTGGCTCGTTCCACCTGGGCGGCGACAAACTGGGCCGGGGTCCCGACACCCATTGCGACCTACGTTACCCGGTTTCGACAATGCCGCGGCCTTGTAGTCTCCCAAGGACTTGTATGGACCGTCTCCTTTGGCCGACACGGTAAGTGCGACGTATCCAACATTGGCAACCGGCTCGAAATCGTTGACGCTGACTTTGCTCGCGCCGATCGCCGTCTTTACCAACATCGCGTTGGTAAGCTGAGTGATGGTATAGCCGTCCGGCTTGGCCCGGCTTGCCTCGGTCCAACCGATGCTGCCTCCGGCGCCGGATACGTTCTTCACGACGATTTTCGTGCCGAGATGCTACTCCAGGTACGTGGAGGTAAGGCGCATGATCACGTCGGAGCCTCCGCCGGGTTTGTAGGGGATGATCAGGCGAATGGGTTTTTCCGGATACCCGGAGGCCGCCACTGCTGCTATTGGAGCAAGGATCATCGTAAAGCACGCGCACAAGATCAAGGTCTTCGCGGTTTTCATGGTCTCTCCCCCTTGGTTTGCATAAACGCCTCGCAGTCTTCAATATTAGGTCTGGTTTTACTACTTACTATTCGAGTCAGTAGAACGCAGATGTCGGGTTGACGAGGCACAAGAAGGGCATACGGGTCTTGTCGTGGGTGACTACGAGCCGGTACCCGCCAGTTGCCGTGTCGCTAGCGCAGCCGTGATGGAGTCGAGCCTCCCGGCCCCGAACCCATGGCCTGGAGCACGGCCTCGGACCAGGCGTTGCGGCATTGTAGGCGTATCACTCAACGGGCGTAGCTCGGTGAGCACCCGACCGTGCCCCGGCGAGAAGCGGATTCCACACCCAGGCCGAGCCCTGGCCGACGCAGAAGGAAGGGGTCGCACTTGAGCGCGATGACGGCACGTCGCATAGCTAGCAGGCGCGGACAGGAGTAGACCTGATAGTTCGCCGCGTCTCGTCCCGCGCGAGGTGTGTGTGCTGCCGACGAAGCAGAAACGCCCTATAGATGGCAGTCTGAGAGCTGTTTCGAATCCGTGAAGATGAACTGGTTGCGGTATGTCGAGCGGAGGCATTGAATCGGTCGAAGACATCTTGACCGACCCTGACCTGCTTAGCGACGAGACCGATAATCAAACTCGCGCTACCTGCCGTTGTGGCCATGACGCAGAGATCGCAACAGAAGGTCAAGAAGTCGGCAGCATGAAATGCCGCGTCGCGCGTTGAGCCCTGCAGATTCCTAGCTGGCCGCTTCCCTAGTTCTGGCGCAACTCCCGGGTCGCATCGGGGGGCTAGCGCGTGCTCATCGGCTACGCTGTTTCGCCCTCAATAGTCGGATGAAGCACACCGACGTACCTGCACCCTCATGTCGCGTGTCATCGTGATCTCAGGAACTTCGTTGATGGGTTCATCCTGCCCCAAGTGGTCGAGGGCGAGGCCAAACAGCCGCTTCTGTGCCCCGAGGTTCATGACCGCATGTGCTACGTTCAGGCAGATAAGACCGGGGTGTATGTCCTCACGTCCAACGAGCCGTCTAAAGTCCGCTGCGTTGTTTGTGACCAACACATATCCATCCTCCACTGCGCGGTGGACGATGACCCAGTCTTGTCTCGATCCCAGACCGAGCCATGTGACGTGCACTGATTCAAGGAAACCCCTCCTACGAGCCTCAGTGGCGAGTTCGGGACTCAGGCATTCGTCGATGAGGAACTTCACGAAGCGGGTGGGAGATCGTCAAAATGGATCGCAAATGACGAGAGTGGCTGTTGTCTTCGCGACGGGGGCGTATTGCGCCGCCGTCCGCGGCGCGGATAGGCCTGGGCGTATATCGGCGCAGTGCTGATCTGCGCCTCGGTCAATCTCGGATATGCCGCCTGGAGTGCAGCGACGGTATCCCCGTTCGCGAGCATGGCGGCGATATCGTGGATCGGGATGCGCGTTCCCTTGAAACACGGCGTACCGCCTAGCACGCCGTCGTCAGTCTCGACCATTCGCTTCGCCTGTGCCAACAGGGCGATACGGCGATGTACAGCGTCCGCCATCACCCGCACGTCGACCGAAAGGGGTTCGTCATGCAAGGCTTCGGCCGTCGGCTCGTCGAGGAGACGCCGGATCAGCCGGCGTCTCCCTTCAGGGGTCAGGACCGTCCCCAACTGGTAGGCGAGCTTCAGCCCGATCAAGCCTGCGCCGAGAACGACGCGTGCTCCGTTCCGGCTCTCAGCCGCGTCACCCAGCAAACCTGCGTCAATGATACGATGCACCTGCTTCAGGGGTACGCCGGTGACGCACGACGCCTCGTTCGCCGACCATGAGTCCTTGGTGGACCCTGTTGCCATAAATGTTTCCGCCATCGTGGAAGATATCTTACTGCTTCAGGGGATCGGTGGCAAGACTCAATTGTCGAGTGGCGTCCCGTATCGAACGTGACTTCAGAAACTGGCGGGTTGAAAGACTGCGCCGGGGGGAGCCTCATTCACCGGCGGTCGCCGAAAGGGGTGGAGTCAGGCTGACGGATGCTGTAGCGCGATCCCGCCGATGAAACGTGGGATCAAGGGTCCGAAGGTTCCTTGGGGACCGCAAACCGCCCACCGACGCACCGATCCACCAGGAAATTTCAAACGGCTTTTCACCGATAACCGCGGCCAGTGTGTCGCCGTCGATGACAGCGTGGGCGTAGGCATTACAATTAACAGCGCGAATGTCCTCCGGCTCCAGGCCATGGTAGTCTTTCCAGGATTTCCTGCATGGTGACCCTGCCTTGGTTGAGCCAACAGGGTTCAACGGATGATCCATACCAACATCTGAAATGAACCCAATGAATCTTCGAATGATCGGCCTTCCGCCGAATACGTCCGGCCGCGCGGTGATCCGCTGTTTGAGCAGTCGTCTTCGAGTCGCACCGTCACCTCGCGTAATTTTCTGATGACCCCACGAGCTCGTACTCACCGACGAGACGCAAATCCCGAGTCGCGTCCGGATCCAGGGTGACCTCGCCGCGGTCTGCCGGACCCACGCACCCGTATCGCTTCCGCGCCTCTCAACGTACACGTACCTGCCGCACGTCAGCTTCAAGCACGGCCCTCCGGCTGCGTCGAACGCCGCTCCCACGCCGCCGCCGCCGGCCGTCTCCACCGCAGCACGTCGCCGGTCTTCAGCCGTTGGTCGCCGAAGCGGGAGGGCAGGCTGCGCTCGTCCTCGCCGCCGGGGTTGATGATGCAGTCGCCGGTGCCGCCGGGGTGGCCGCCGTCGATGCCCTGGGGGGCGAGGGCGTGCTTGTCGGTGCGCATGGAGAAGCGGACTTCGTCCTGGAGGATGCGGTATTCGCGGACGAGCCAGGCCGCCGCGGTGGCGGCCTGGGCCGCCGGAGTCGCGCAGGAGCTCGAAGCGCTCCACCTGGGTGGGGAACTCGGACTCGATGATCTCGACGGGGGCGATCTTGCCGTTGCTCAGGTGGAAGGAGGTGGCGGAGGCGCCGTCCTTGCCGTTTCTTCCGCCGACGCCGCCGGCGAAGATCTCGTACTGGACGTAGCTGCGCTTGCCGTCCCGGGCGCGGCCGCCCAGGGCGATGGCGCCGCTGCCGGAGCCCTCGGCGATGGTCTTGTCGGGGACGAGCGGGCTCATGGCCTGGAGCACGGCCTCGGCCACCACCAGGGCGGTGGGCATGTAGGCGTTCACCGCGGCGGGGTAGTCGGGGCAGACCACGGTGCCTTGGCGGAAGCGGTCTCTACCACCCGGCCAGGCCCTGGTTGATGGGCAGGAAGGGTCGATGAGGGCGATGAGGCAGTAGTAGCAGCAGGCCCGCACCAGGGGAGGGCGGATGTTGGCCGGGCCGGTGGTCTGGGGGCTGCATTCGAGAAGTCGAACAGGATGCGGTCGCCGGTCTTCTCCACGGTGACGCGGATGCGCACGGGCTTGTCGAGGTCGATGCCGTCGTTGTCGACGCAGGCCTCGCCCCGGTAGCGGCCGTCGGGCCACGAGGCGATGACCTGCCGCAGCCGGCGCTCGGCGTGTCCCGCCAGCTCCTCGGTGGAGTCCACCACCGTGGCCTTGCCGTATTTGTCCAGCAGTTCGGCCATCCGCCTCTCACCCAGCCGGTTGGCGCCCACCTGGCCGCGGATGTCGCCCACCACCACCTCCGGCGTGCGGCTGTTGGCATGGATCAACCATTCCAGCTCGCGCACCGGCCGGCCCGCGTCCATGAACTTCACCGCGGGCAGGTGCAAGCCCTCCTCAAAAATCTCCCGGGCAGTGCCCGAGCCGCTGCCGTGGACGGTGCCGCCGATGTCGCTCTTGTGGGCCATGCTGGCGCAGAAGCCCACCCACTCGCCCTGGTAGAAGACCGGCGTCAGCACGCCCATGTCCGGGGCGTGGGGGCTGCCGCCGCGGTAGGGGTGATTGACGATGTAGGCGTCGCCCTCCCGGAGGTCGGCCGGGGGAAAGCGTTCCAGCAGGCCCTCGGCGCAGGCGGGGAAAGCGCCCATGTGGAGCGGCAGCACCACGTGCTGGGCGATGACCTCGCCTGGTGTTGAGAGATGGCGCAACTGGCGTCGTGGGATTCGCGGATGATGGTGGAGTAGCCGGTGCGGAACAGGGAGGTCTGCATCTCCTGCACGATGCCGTCGAGGGCGGCGCGGATGACCTGGACGGTGATGGGGTCGGCGGTTTGGGTCATGTCTGGTCGGTTGGCATCGTCTGGAATGGCGTCCTTCGACTTCGCTTCGCTACGCTCAGGACGAACGGTTGGAATGTGTTTGTCACCGTTCGTCCTGAGCGTAGGCGAAGCGAAGTCGAAGGACGCCATCTTCCTCACATTCGCTGCAGCTTGTCCGCGCTCCCGACGCACGGCCTCGGTCCGCGCCTCGTCCAGCACTACGGCGCCGCCGTCGCCTGCACGGCCACGCCGTAGACCTCCAGGGCGTATTCCGGCGACACGTAACCGTTCTTCACGTCTCGCACAACGGCTTCGGCGTCGCGTTCCAGGGGCTCGCCGAGGCCGCCGCCTCCGGGGGTCTCCAGGCGGAACACGTCGGCTTGCCGGACGGCGATGTCGGAGCAGCGGGAGGGGATTTCCCGTTCTTCCTGCGAGCCGGGGTTGAGGATGCCCTTGCCGGTGCGGCCGTTGCCGCCGCCTTCCACGCCCTTGGGCGCCACCACGTGCTTGGTGGAGCGGAGCGAGAAGCGACCCTCGGGATTCAGGAACTCGTACTCCCGGACGAAGCCCAGGCCGCCGCGGAACCGGCCGGCGCCGCCGGAGTCCCGCACCAGCTCGAAGCGGCGCAGCCGGGTGGAGAACTCGGACTCGATGATCTCGATGGGGGCGATGCGGGCGTTGGACTGGTTGACGTTGGTGCCGGAGACCCCGTCCTTGCCGGTGCGGGCGCCGGAGCCCCCGCCGAAGATCTCGTACTGGACGTAGCTGCGGCCGGTCTTCTCGTTCCTGCCGCCGATGATGATGGAGCGGCTGGCGCAGCCGTCGGCGATTTTCTTGACCGGGGTGAGCTGGCTCAGGGCCTCGAACAGGGCCTCCACCAAGGCGTGGACCGTGGGGTTGTAGGTGTTCACCGGGGCAGGAAAATGGGGGTTGAGCACGCTGCCCTCGGGGCAGTGGACCTCCACCACCCGGGCCAGTCCGTGGTTGGTGGGCAGGGCCGGGTCGGTGAGCGCGGTGAGGCAGTAGGAGCACGCTGCCCGCACCACCGGCGGCCGGATGTTGGCCGGGCCGCGGGTCTGATCCGCGCTGCCGGTGAAGTCGAACAGCAGCCGGTCGCCCTTCTTGTCGATGCGCACCCGGATGCGCACCGGCTTGTCGAGGTCGATGCCGTCACTGTCCAGGAAGCGCTCGCCCTCGGCGCTCATGTCGGGCCAGCCCGCGATCTCCCTGCGGACCCGTTCCTCGGTGAGCTGGAACAGCCGATCGTAGGAAGCGAGGACGGTTTCGCGGCCGTACTTGGCCATCATCTCGCCGAACCGCCGTTCGCCCAGGCGGGCCGCCCCCACCTGGCCCCGGATGTCGCCCACCACCAGCTCCGGCGTGCGGCTGTTGGCCGCGATGATCTCCTCGATGTCCTTGCTCGTCTTGTAACGGTCGATGTACCTGACCGGCGGGACCTGGAGTCCCTCCTGGTACACCTCCCGCGCCTGGCTCCAGCAGCTCCCGGGCACAGGGCCGCCGATGTCGCTCTTGTGCGCCATGGTGGCCGAGAAGCCCACCCACTCGCCGCCGAAGAAGATCGGCGTCATCACGCACATGTCCGGGGCGTGGGGGCTGCCGCCGAGGTAGGGATGATTGGTGATGAAGGCGTCGCCCTCGTGGATCTCCTCCGGCGGATAGCTCCGCAGCACCCCCTGGGCGCAGGCCGGGAACGCGCCCATGTGCAGCGGCAGCACCACGTGCTGCGCCGCCACGTTGCCTTCGCAGGTGAGGATGGCGCAACTGGCGTCCTGGGACTCGCGGATGATGGTGGAGTAGCCGTGCGGAAGAGCGAGTTCTGCATCTCCTGCACGATGCCGGCCAGCCGCGCCTGGATCACCTGGAGGGTGATGGGATCCACGGAGACCGGGTTTGCGACGCTGGATTCCGGGTTTGCCATTGATTTCTTCCGGCAGGCTGCTTGCCTGCGTTGTGGCGCCCGATTTCCCTGGGGAAATCTGTTGGCCTGCCATCGTGCAAGATGGCGACCTTCGACTTCGATCGCCCTTGCCGGCTCGACTCGCTACGCTCAGGGCGAACGTATGTGGCCCCGTTCGTCAAAGTCATCGCGCCAGCCGCGTTTACAAGCTCCTGCGATCCCGCCCGGCTCAGGACCAGCGGTTGCAAGGCATCTCCGCGTTCGTCCTGAGTCCTTGACCGGTCAGGACCAGCGGTTGTGAACTCCCTGTTCGTCCTGAGCCCTGCGACCGAGAGCTAGACGTCGTAGCGTACGTCGAAGTCGAAGGACGCCATCTCTACCCCTTTGCCGTGATGATCAGGTTCTTGTAGTCGTCCACCCGCGCCTGCTGTTCCGGATGAATGACGGTGGTGGTGTCCATCTGCTCCACCACCGCGGGGCCGGCGAGCTCGTGTCCCGGCTCCAGGCGGTCCCGGTCGTAGATGGGCGTGTCCTGGATGCCGAGTTCGCGGCCGAAGAAGATCCGGCGCTCTCCGGTGCGGGCGTCGGCCACGCTCTTCCCCGTGGGCGCGAACGGCGACAGCCGGGTCTGCGGCACCCGCCCCTCGGACACCAGCCGCACGCTCACCAGCTCCACGGGCTCGGACTCGGCCTTGTGGCCGTGGGCCTGCTCGTGGACCTCGTGGAAGCGTTGCTGCACCAGTTCCATGTCGTCGGGCTTAAGCGGCGGCATCGGACACGGCACGGTGAGCTCGTAGCCCTGCCCGGCGTAGCGCAGGTCCAGAACGGCGTCAGCCGATGTCCTCGTCCGGGAAGCCCTCTTCGTAGAGCTCCTCCCGTGCCTGCTGCGTGAGCTGATCGAACAGGCGTTGATGTCGCCGGGCTGGAGCTCCTGCATCGGAGCGAGCTTGGAGCGCATGTGGTCGTGCTTCACGTCCGACATCAGCAGGCCCAGGGCGGAGTTGACCCCCGGCGTCAACGGCACCAGCAGGGTGGGGATGCCGAGGTCCAGCGCCAGCCGGCCGGCGTGCATGGGACCGGCGCCGCCGAAGGCCACCAGGGTGAACTCCCGGATGTCGTAACCGCGCTGGGACGACACCGCCTTGATGGCCTCTTCCATCTTGACGTTGATGATCTTGAGGATGCCGTCCGCGGCCTCGTGAAGGCTCAGCCCCAGGGGCTTGGCATCCGCTCCTCCACCACCGACTCTGCCTTCTCCTTGTCGAGGGTGAGGCGCCCGCCAAGGAAGTGGTCGGGGTCCAGCACCCCCAGGATGACGTTGGCATCGGTGACGGTGGCGTTCTCGCCGCCGTGGTCGTAGCAGATGGGGCCGGGGTCGGCGCCGGCGCTGTCGGGTCCCACCTGGAGCGCCCCCACCGAATCGATGCGCGCAATGGTGCCGCCGCCCGCGCTCACGGTGTGGATGTCGAGCATGGGCAGGCTGATGGGCCGCTGGCTGATGCGGCCCTGGTTGGTGACCACCGGGCGGCCCTGGTGGATCAGCGCCACGTCGCAACTGGTGCCGCCCATGTCGAAGGTGATGATGTTGTCGATGCCGACCTTGCCGCTGACGCCCAGCGACGAGATGACGCCCCCCGCGGGCCCGGAGAGCACCGTGGCCACCGGTTTGCGGGCCGAGGTCTTGAACGTCGACACGCGGCCGTTGGACTGCATGATGTAGAGCTGGGGCGTGTCGACCCCCATCTCCCTCAGGCGGGTCTCCAGCCGGTTCAGGTAGGCGCTCATCACGGGCGCGATGTAGGCGTTGATGACCGTGGTGCTCATGCGAAAGAACTCGCGGATCTGCGGCAGCACCTCGCACGACAGCGACAGGCTCGCCTCCGGGAACTCCTCGGCCATGAGCTTCTTGACCGCCAGCTCGTGGTCCAGGTTCAGGAAGGAGAACAGGAAACACACGGCCACGGATTCCACGCCCTTGGCCTTGAGCCGGCGGATGGCTTCCGCCGCCTGCTTCAGGTCCACCGGTGTGAGCGCCCGCCCCTGGAAATCCACGCGTTCGGGGATCTCCTCGGTGGTGTACGGGCTGGCCAGCAGGCGGGGCTTCTCGAAGAAGAGGTCGTAGGTCACCGGCCCGTAGCCCCGGCTCTGCTCCATGACCTCGTAGATGCCCGCGGAACCCCTCGGTCACCAGCAGGCCGGTGACCGCCCCCTTCTCCTCCAGCAGGGCGTTGGTGCCCACGGTCGTGCCGTGGGAGAAGAAGCTCACGTCCCCGGCCGGCACTCCCCGGTCGAGCAGCTCCTGGACCCCGTTGAGCACCGCCTGGAACGGCTCCTTGGGGGTCGAGGGCACCTTGGTGATGCTGATCTCGCCGCTGTCCTCATTGAAGAAAACGAAGTCGGAAAAGGTCCCTCCGGTGTCCACCGCTACTCGATATCGTGCCATCGAAGTTGCGTTAACACGATTTGGTAGTGGGTACAAATCCGCTCCGGAATGGTGTGGGAAGGGTAGAAAGGGCGCTTGAACGGACGCGGGCGGGTTTGAAACCCGCCCCTACAACGTGCACGCCTCGCCTCACTTGCAAACTCCGTTCACCGGATGTACGGGCGCGTTTCAAACCCGCCCGTGCCTGACTTGACAGGGCCTCGGTTTCCCGATAGAGCAGTGCCATAATCGTTTTGCGGCCGTACGGAACCCCGCCTTCACGCGGGAGGCGAGGCCGGAGAGGAGCATTCATGATCGAAGGGTTGCAGGGCAAGGTGGTGATCGTCACGGGCGGCGGGCACGGTATCGGCACGGCCTACTGCGAGGGCTTTACCAAGTCCGGGTCCCGGGTGGTGGTAGCGGACATCGACGGGGAGGCGGCGGAGAAGGTGGCGGGGGACCTGGCGAAGCTGAGCGAGGCCGGTTCCATGGCGGTGCACGTCGACGTGTCCGACGAAGAGTCCACCAAGCAGATGGTCGCCAAGACCATCGAACGCTTCGGCCGGGTGGACGTGCTCATCAAACAACGCGTCGATCTTCGCCACCGTTCCCATGAATCGCGGCCTCATCGAGGAGATCACCCCCGAGGAATGGGACAAGCTCATGTCCGTGAACTTGAAGGGCGTGTTCCTCTGCTGCCGCGCGGTGTTGCCGCAGATGCGCCAGCAGAAGTCCGGCAAGATCGTCAACGTCGCTTCCGGCACGGCGCTTTCCGGCCCTCCCGGACGCATTCACTACGTAGCCTCCAAGGCCGGCGTGATGGGTTTCAGCCGCACCCTGGCGCGGGAGGTCGGCGACGACAACATCCAGGTCAACATCCTCTGTCCGGGATCGACCCTGTCCGAGGTGAATCCCACCGAGGAGGTCCTCAAGATGCGCCAGAGCAATATCACCCAGCGCGCCATCAAGCGGGTCCAGGTGCCGCAGGACCTGGTCGGCGGCGTCCTGTTCATGTCCTCCCCGCTGGCGGACTTCATGACCGGCCAGACCCTGGTGGTGGACGGCGGCCAGAACATGCACTGACGGCGTCGCGGGCGGAGCGTCGACGGAGGCCCGCCCGCCCGTCGCACCCTTCGAATCGTCGAGGAGTTACGGGCATACACGCCGATACGATTCGCCGGCTCACGGCATTGCTGGGCCCCGCCTCCGTCCTCACGGATCCGGATGAGATAGACCTGCACGCCTGGGATGCGTTGAGCCAGAGCCGCATCCATCCCCTGCATCCCCATCGTCCCCGTCCCTCCCTTGTGTGTCTGTACTCCCGCCTCCGCGGCCGAGGTCCAGGCCGTCGTGGGCGTGGCCAACGAGGCCCGGGTGCCGCTGGTGCCCTATGGCGGCGGTTCGGGGCTCATGGGGGCGGCCATCTCACTGACCCCCGGCATCGTCGTGGATCTCAGGAAGATGAACGCCGTGCTGGAGGTCGATCCGGGGTCGTTCACGGCCCGAGTCCAGGCCGGGGTGGTGTTGGAGGCCCTCGAATCGGAGTTGCAACGGTCCGGACTCATGCTGGGCCACGATCCCTGGACGGTTCCGGTGGCCACCGTGGGCGGGGCCGTCTCCACCAACAGCCTCGGCTATCGCGGCGGAAAGTATGGCTCCATGGGGAGTCAGGTGCTGGGATTGGAGGCGGTGTTGCCCCGGGGACAAGTGTGCCGCACCCGCGCCGTTGCCAAGAGCTCCACCGGAATCAACCTCAACCACCTGTTCATCGGCGGTGAAGGCTGTTTCGGGATCCTCACGGAGGTGACCCTCCGGGTCTTTCCGGCTCCGGAGGTGAGGTCGCTCCACGCCGTCCGGTTCGACTCCTTCGCCCGGGGCTTCGATGCCGTCCGACAGTTCTCTGCCGACGGCTTGAGGCCGATTCTGCTCGACTACGGCGATGAGACGGAGGATCCGGACGGACCGTCGATCCTCTATCTCGGGTTCGAAGGAAAGGCGGAGATCGTCGCCGCGGAGGAGGGCGTGGCCCTGGGAACGTGCCTGGACCGGGGCGGCAAACGGCTGGCCCCGGACAAGGCCCAACGGTTCTGGCGCGAACGTCACACGGCCGCCCGGCGATTCGCCGCCAACCGCCGGGAGCGCCGAAAGCGAAGTGAAACCGGGATGCATCAGGATTGGGTCCACGTCGCCCTGCCGGCATCGCGTGTGATAGCCTTCAGACAAGAGGCCATCGCCATGGCCGCGGCTCGCGACGTGCATTTCCGGGAGAGCGGGCTCTGGACCGGCCCGGAGCTCTTCTCACTGCGGCTGGCCAAGGAGGGTGGGGAGCAGGCGCGGGCGGACTTGGGGGACGCCGTCTCGGCGCTGCTGCGGACCGTCCATCGTTTCGGCGGATCGGTGGAGTACTGCCACGGGGTGGGAATCAAGCTGGCTCCGCTCATGGGTCATGAGCACGGTGACAACCTGGAGCTGATGCGCTCCGTGAAACGCGCTCTGGACCCCAATGACATCATGAATCCCGGCAAGCTCGGTCTGTGACGGCGGCGGGCCGCCTGCCCCATGGGATCGTCCGTAAGCCGCGCGGCCCGAACCGGCTCGGCCTTTGACAATCACATGGAATATCGATAGGATTCGTTCAAATATGACACTCATGGCCTATCGAACACGAACAGACAGCCGCGACCGAAATCGAAAGAACTGCACCAACCGAGGTGCAGTTCTTTTTTTTGGCGCGCGTCCAGCGACAGGAGGGTAACGTGTTGCGGGAGCAGTTGGAAACCTTTGGCGGTGCTTCAAGGCATCGATCTGGAAGTGAAGAAGCACAGGACCGCCCAGGCGGAACGCACCGACGAGATCGAAAGGTGTGAGGGCGAGATCGCCAGGTTGGCAGCAGAGGTCAAGTCGCTGAGGGATGCCTGGCAGGAAAGGGATGCGGTTCGGCGGACCAAGGAACAGACGGTGCTGGATGCCAACAGAAAGGCCACCGACAAGCGCATGCGCATGAGCCAGATCAAGAGCATCAAGGAGTTGCAGGCGCTTCAGCGGGAGATCGGAGCGATCAAGGAGTCCAACGCCATCGTGGAGGAGGAGTGATCGAGGTCATGACCGACATGGAAGAACAAGAGGCGGTATTGAAGCAGAAAGAGGCCGAGTTGACGGACCGCAGGAATGACTGGAAGCGAGCGAAGGGGCCCCTTGAAGGGCGAGATCGCCGAAATCGAGGCAAAGATCGACAAAACGCGCAAAGCGCGCAATGACACGGCGGCGCGTCTCAACGATGACCTCATGGGAAGGTACGAGTTGCTTTTTGACCGTCGCGGCGGCACCGCGGTGGTGTCGGTGTCTTCGGCCATGTGCCGGGCCTGTTTCATGAACATTCCACCCCAGCTATGGAACGACGTCCTGCGCAATGAGCGCGTGAACCTCTGTCCGAGCTGTCAACGAATCCTCTTCTACAACCCGCCCGCCCCGGAACAAGAGGGGCAACCGTAATTGCCCCCCTCAGGGGTTGCAACTTCACCGCTTAATCGGGAAACTGAGTCTCGGGGTACAGTGGATCAGACGGTCGCTTCCGCGGTAAAACGCGGAGGAGGAAAGTCCGGACTCCACAGGACAGGGTGGCCGCTAACGGCGGCCTCGAGCGATCGAGGGAAAGTGCCACAGAAAACACACCGCCCGGCGGGCTCCGGTTCGCACCGGACCGTCGAGTAAGGTTGAAAAGGTGAGGTAAGAGCTCACCGGTCCGCCAGTGATGGCGTACGCATGGTAAACCCCACCTGGAGCAAGACCAAATAGGAGGGTCGGGTCGTCCGCCTGACACCCTCGGGTAAGGTCGCTGGACCCCGTGAGCAATCACGGGGCAAGATGAATGACCGTCCCGCTTCCTGTTGGGAAGCGCGACAGAATCCGGCTTAACGATCCACTGTCCCCCCCACTGTCCCTCATTTCCAGCCAACACCTGCCTAGTGTCCTGCCTCACAAATAGCTTCATGAAACTGCTGGTCCTTTTCGCCGTCGGCGGCGTTGCTCCTCCTCGCGTGGTATTGGCCACTGGGGGGGCGACCGCCGGTCGCCCCTACCGGTCGTCGCGCCTTGCCGACGCCAAAAATTCCTGCGCAGTTTCATAAACCTATTTGTGAGGCAGGACACTGGATCCCCGTTCACCAGTCTCGGACCGGTGGTTGCGGCCGGACAAGACCACATTCTCCCGAAAGCTACAACTTGTAGTCGACCGGCTTCCTGTCGCCTGACTGCAACCAGATGTAGTAGAAACCGCGAATTATTCAACGTATTCGGCCACCTTTTCGTGGGCCGAAATATGACGTTTTTGTGTTGACAGGGGTGAAACGGTCTGGCTATATTCCCTGCAGGTGGGATAAAGTGGGATTAAATCCCATAGAGCCCCAAAGGGTGTCAGGCATGTTTCGCGGCAGATATGAGCATACGGTCGATACCAAAGGGCGCCTGAGCATTCCGGCCAAGTATCGCGAAGTCCTCCTGGGCAAAGGTGACGAACGGCTCATTATCACAAATTTCGTCGTCAGTGCCAAGCGATGCCTGGATGTCTACCCGCTGGACGAGTGGCTGGCGCTGGAGGAAGCCGTCCGCCGGAAGCCCAAGTTCGACGCCCAAATGGTGCGGTTTCAGACCTACTATCTGGGTGGCGCGACGGAATGCGCCGTGGACCCGCACGGACGTATCCTCATCCCGCCCACCCTGCGCAAGTACGCTGATCTCAAGCGTGACGTGATGCTGGCGTCGGCGGGCGAGAAGTTTCGCATCTGGGACAAGGACGCTTGGGACAAGGTGTTCACGGAGGCTGAAGAGCAACTCATGGAAGATCCGGACTCCTTCTCGGAGTTGGGTTGTGAGTCCGGCGACCGATGCCGAAGAAAGGAGCGACCATGATCGGACTCGACAGGAAGGCCATACAGGATATTGCCGTCATTGACGTCAATGGTGATATCGACCTCCGGGAAATGGTGCGGATCAAGGACATGATCGGAGGTCTGATCGAGAAGGAACGTCTGAAGGTCGTTCTGAATCTCAAGGCGGTCGATCACATCAACTACTTGAGCATCGGGGTGCTGCTCGACCGTTTGAGATTGTTGCGCGAAATGAATGGCGACCTGAAGCTCTCGGGCATGGACCCCCATCTGAAGGATATCTTCCGGGTCGTGGGCATGGACGGGGTCTTCGAGTTCTACGCTTCCTTGGACGATGCCATCGAGAGTTTCGACGAGGATTGGGATGGGGCGGCCACCTGCCACTGAGCAGCCGGTCCCATGGACTACGAACACCAGCCCGTGATGCTTCGCGAGGTTCTCGAGATCCTCGCGCCCAAGCCGGCGCGAAGGTATCTGGACGGGACCGTGGGGGGAGGCGGACACGCGCGGGAGATATTGCGTCAGTCGTGCCCGGACGGAGAGCTCCTGGGCCTGGATTGCGACGACCAGGCCATCGGCGCCGCCGGGCAGGCATTGGCCGGCTTCGGCGAGCGGGTGACCCTGCACCGGACGGGATTCACCCGGGCGCGGGAAGTTCTGGACGAAGCGGGCTGGCCGGGTGTGGACGGCATGCTCCTGGATCTGGGCCTGTCTTCCCATCAGCTCGACACTCCGGAACGCGGCTTCGGTTTCCGCAGCGACGCCAGACTGGACATGCGCATGGACCGCTGCGGTTCGGTGGACGCCCATGAGCTGGTGAACAGCCTGCCCGTCAGGGAGCTGGAAAAAATCATCCGGGATTTCGGCGAGGAGCCGCGGGCGCGGCGGATCGCATGGGCCATTGACGCCCGGCGTCGCCAGGGAGCCATCGACTCGACGTGGCAACTGGCGGAGACGGTGGCCCGGGCCATGGCCGGCTCGACGCGCCGGCCCCGGAAGGCCCGCAGGCCCGCGGCCCATCCGGCTACCCGGACGTTTCAGGCGGTGCGCATCGCGGTGAACCGTGAACTGGAAAATCTCGAGAGCTTTCTCGAGTCGGCCTACGAGTTGCTGTGCGCCAAGGGGCGCCTCGTGATCATTTCGTTTCACTCGCTGGAGGACCGGCTGGTCAAGCGCGCGTTTCACAAGTGGGGCCTCGATTGCGTGTGTCCGCCGCGTCTGCCCGCGTGTGTTTGCGGTTGGGCCCGAAAGGCAACGGCCCTCACCCGCAAACCGCAGGTTCCCGGCATCGATGAGATCCGGGCCAACCCCAGGGCGCGCTCGGCCAGGCTGAGGGCGGTTGAAAGGCTATAGCCCGAGGGTGAGGCCGCGACCGAGGGTGAGACCCGACCGAGGGTGAGACCCGAGGTTGTAGGGGCGGGTTTCAAACCCGCCCGTGTCGAAATGGCCCTGTGAGTCAGGGCATGGCCCATGAGGAGGGACTATGTGGCGCTCTCCGCAAGAACCGACGAATGGAGCAGGCGTCCTTGACAAGCAGCGGGTGGCCGATGCCGAGCCCGCGGCAGGGCGCCGAAGCGCGCTGTTCCCGGTCGTGGTGAGTTGCCTCCTGGTGGCGTTGGCCCTGTTGCTTGTGTGGCAGCGTTTGCGGGTCGTGGAACTGGGTTACGTACTCTCCACCGCCGCCAAGCTGGAGCGGCGGTTGGAACAGACGAATCGCGAGTTGAAACTGGAGTTGGCGAGTCTGACCGCGCCCGAGCGCCTGGAGACCATGGCACGGCGACGGCTCGGACTGAGGGACCCTGAAACGGGACAGGTGGTGGTGCTTCCGTGACGAAGAAAGAGGCACAGGACCTCTCCGCAAGATTGCGGTCGCGGCTGCGGCTGACGGGCGGTGTGCTGCTGGTGCTGCTGCTGGCGGTGGCGGCCCGGGCCATCCATCTCCAGGCCTTCGACGGCGAGAGGTTGGCGCGACTGGGTGAGAAACAGCACATCCAGGAGAGAATCGTCGTACCCAAACGCGGCACCATCCTGAGCCGCAATGGAGACTCGTTGGCCATCAGTATCGAGTCCCACTCCGTGTACGTGAGGCCCCGGCGGCTGAAGCCGTCCGCGAAGATCGTGCCGTCGGTCGCCCGCGCCCTGAACCTGAAGCCGGCGGAAGTACGCCGCAAGATCACGTCCGACCAGCCTTTCGTGTGGCTCAAGCGCCAGGTGACGCCGCGTGAGGTCCAACGTGTTCGGGCCCTGAAGATCGAGGGGATCGGATTGTCCCACGAGCCGAAACGCTACTACCCGCAGGGTCATCTTGCCGGACAGGCGCTGGGTCTGGTGGGACAGGACGCGCAAGGACTGGAAGGAGTCGAGCGGAGCTACGACCGGCACATACGCGGCAAGACCCGCTCTTCGCCGGTGGGACGGGACGCGTTGGGACGCCGTTTCGTGGTGACCGGTCTGGAGGACCTCAAGATCCGGCCCGGGGCAGACGTGCACTTGACCCTCGACACGACGCTGCAGCACCTGGCCGAAAAGCACCTGGAGGCGACGGTGAAACGGTTTCGCGCCAAGGGCGGCACCGTGGTGATGGCGGACCCCTTCACCGGTGCGGTTCTGGCGCTGGCCAGCTATCCGTTTTTCAATCCCAACCAGTTCCGCAGCCAGGACCGGGACCGGTGGCGCATCCGCGCCATTACCGACACCTACGAACCGGGCTCCGTCTTCAAGGCAGTGCTGGCCGCGGCCGCGCTGGAGGACGGCGTGGTGGGACGGGAAGACCTGATTTTCTGTGAGTTCGGCCGCTATCGGTACGGCGGCCGTACCATTCACGATTTCAAGGAATACGGTTGGCTGTCCTTCGCGAAGGTGCTTCAGCTTTCCAGCAACATCGGCGTGACCAAGGTGGCCGACAAGCTCGGAAAGGAACGGTATCACCATTACATACGGAGGTTCGGCCTCGGCGAGAAGACCGGCATCGATCTTCCCGGTGAGGTGGTGGGCACGGTGCGGCCACCCAACCGGTGGCGTGCCATCGACCTTGCCACGGCCTCTTTCGGGCAGTCCATCTCGGTCACGCCCATACAGATGGTCATGGCATTCTCCGCCATCGCCAACGGCGGCCTGCTCATGCGGCCGCACCTGGTGGCGCGAGTGGTGGACGAAGACGGCAAGATCCTCTTCCAGCACCGGCCGGAGCGGGTGCGGCGAGTGGTCTCCCGGGCCACGGCCCGGGCCGTGGCGGGCATCCTGAAGGGCGTGGTGGCGGCGGGCGGCACCGGCAGGCGGGCCGCCCTGGCAGGGTTCGAAGCGGCGGGAAAGACCGGCACCTCCCAGAAGGCCGACACGGTCAAGGGCGGCTACTCCAAGACCAAGCGGGTGGCCTCGTTCGTCGGTTTCGTGCCCGCGGACGAGCCTCGTTTCGTGCTGCTGACCCTGGTGGACGAACCCACGGTCAACGTGTACGGCGGCGTGGTCGCGGCGCCCCTGTTCCGCCGGATCGCGGCTCCCGCGCTGCACGCTCTTGGAGTGACTCCGAATCCGCGGCTCCTGCCGGAGGTCCCGGCGGGAAGGGATGGCGGCGTCATCCGGGTGTCCCGGAAGGCCCCCGGGCGCCGCAAGTCGGCGCGCAACGGCGGCCGCCCGAGCCTCATCGGCCTGAGCATGCGGGAGGCCGTGGACAAGGCCAAGCGGCTCAAGTTCTCCGTGGTCCTCCGCGGCCACGGCTACGTGGTGGACCAGCGGGTCGAGAACGGCAGCGGCCGCCTGGTGTTGACGTTGAAGGATTGATGTCGATGCTGCTTCGGGAGCTTTTGCCCATGCCCGGCATCCAGGACCAAAAGGAATCGAAAGGGGATTCGAGGACCGCTCCGTCCAGGGTCTCGCGTGTGATTCCCGCAGGGTCCGGGACGGGTACGTGTTTTTCGCGCTTGCGGGACAGCTCGCGGACGGTCACGACTACGTCGACGAGGCCGTGAAGCGGGGAGCGGCGGCGTGGTGGTGGAACGATCCGTTCCGGTTCCGCCGGAAGCCGCCTGTGTCCGGGTGCCGGATACCCGGCGGGCCATGGCTCACGCGGCAGCCGTCTTCTTCGGGCGTCCGAGCCGCGGGCTCGTGCTGGTGGGTGTCACCGGCACCAACGGCAAGACCACGGTCACGTATCTGCTCGACGCCATCTTTTCGGCGGCCGGCGACGCGTGCGGTGTCATCGGCACCATCAGTCAGCGCTACGGCGGGTGGCAGCGGCCTTCGCCGCTGACGACGCCCGAGTCCATCGACATCGAGGAACTCCTCTCCGACATGGTGCGCGCGGACGTGAGGTTCGTGGCCATGGAAGTCTCCTCCCACGCCCTGGACCTTCACCGGGCGGAGGGGCTCGATTTCGACGGCGCGGTGTTCACCAACCTTTCGCGGGATCACCTGGACTATCACCGCGACATGGACACGTACTTTCTCAGCAAGGCGCGGCTGTTCACGGAATGCCTGCCCGCCAGCGTGAAGGAAAAACCGTTCGCGGTCATCAACGCCGATGACCCGCGGGGTCTCGATCTGATCCGTTTGGCGGAAGACGCCGGGCTGGTGACCCTCACCTACGGAAGGTCGCCGCAATGGGATATCCATCCGGTCCGTTTCGAGAGTGATATCGACGGGTTGAGGGGGATCCTGGCGTGCGGGCCGCGGCGGATCGAATTCGAATCAGCGCTCATGGGTGAGCTCAATCTCGAGAATATCCTCGCCGCCGCGGGAACGGCCTGGGCCCTGGGGCTCGGTTCGGACGTCATCGCGGCCGGGCTGTCCCGGCTCGAGCGGGTGCCGGGGCGGCTGGAACGAATTCCCAACGGTCTGGGGATCACCCTGGTGGTGGACTACGCGCATACGCCGGATGCCCTGGACAAGGTCATCCGCGCCCTGCGCCTGTTGACCAGGGCGAAGTTGATCACGGTGTTCGGTTGCGGCGGCGACCGGGACCACGGGAAACGTCCCGTCATGGGAGAGATCGCGGCGTCGGAAAGCGATTGCGTCGTGCTGACATCCGACAACCCGCGCGGCGAGGACCCGCTGGCGATCATTCGTGAAATCGAGGAGGGCGTCCGAGGCCGGGGCATGAGACGGCTTCGGGAAGGGGACGGCGCCGGGTCGGAGGCCGGATACCGGGTCGAGCCGGACCGGCGTTCCGCCATTCGCCTCGGACTGTCCATGGCGGCTCCGGGGGACGTCTTGCTGGTGGCGGGCAAGGGCCATGAAGACTACCAGATCGTCGGAGACCGGCGGCTTCAGTTCGACGACCGGCAGGTGTTGCAGGAAGAGGTGCACGGCGTCGGTGGCTGACACAGGCCACGAGTGTATGCACCCATGGAGTGGACCATCGAAGAGTTGGCGCGAGCCGCCAAGGGAACCATCGTTCAGCGCGGTGCGGTGAGCCGGTTTGGCCACATCAGCACGGATTCACGGCAGGTGGACAAGGACGGCGTGTTCGTGGCGCTCCACGGCGAAGCGCGGGATGGGCACGTGTTCGTCCCTGAAGTGGTGCGCCGCGGGGGCGGTTGCCTGGTTGTGCAGCGAAGCGTCGCCGGCCCGAAGCGGGTGTCGGTGATTCGCGTGCGCGATACCCTCAAGGCCCTGGGCGACATCGCCCACTTCCATCGCCAGAAGCTGGCGCCGCGGGTCCTGGCCATCACCGGGTCGAACGGAAAGACCACCACCAAAGAGATGCTTTTCTCCATTCTGCAACGCGCGCGCATGGAAGACCGTCCGTTGCGCGGCAAGGTGCTCAAGACCGAGGGCAACTACAACAACCTGGTGGGTCTGCCGTTGACGCTGTTGCGGCTTCGAGGCAAGGAGCGCGCGGCGGTGGTGGAACTGGGTACCAATCGGCCGGGAGAGATCCGCCGGCTTACGGCCATCGCGAATCCGGATCTCGCCCTCATCACCTCGGTGGCGCCGGCGCATCTTTCCGGACTGGGCACCCTCGCGGGGGTGGCCCGGGAGAAGGGGGCGATCTTCCGGGGGCTCGATCCGAGGGGCACCGCGGTGGTGAACCTGGACGACGGCCGGGTCGTGCGCCAGAGCCGGAGCTTCCAGGGACGGGTGGTGACGTACGGCACCGGCGGCTTTGTCCGCGGCGAGGACCCGGAGATGCTGTCCGGCGGCCGGTTGCGGTTCAATCTGCGAGTGGGCCGGGTGCGGGAGCCGGTACGGTTGCGCCTGTGCGGCATGCACAACGTCCGGAATGCGGTAGGGGCCGCGGCCATGGCCCACGCGTTCGGAGCCGACGTGGGGGCCATTCGCACGGGCCTCGAAGCGGTGCGGCCGGTGGCCATGCGCATGCAGGTGGAGCGCTGGGCCGGCATCGGCGTCATCAACGACGCCTACAACGCCAATCCGGCGTCCATGGAAGCGGCTTTGGCGACGTTGAAGGCGATTCCGGGGCGCGGGCGGCGGGTCGCCGTGCTGGGCGACATGCTGGAGATGGGCGCCGGCGAGACCGACTGCCACCGTCAGCTCGGGGAGACCGCCGCCGGGAGCGGCCTGGATGCCCTCTACCTGCTGGGCCGTTTTGCCCGGGACACCCGGCAGGGGGCGCTGGGGGCGGGCATGGATCGGGCCGTCGTACGGGTGGTCCGGACCCACGGGAAGCTGGCGTCGGAGTTGCGCGCCGTGCTGCGGAAGGGCGACTGGGTCCTCATCAAGGGTTCGCGGGGCTCGGCCATGGAAAAGGTCCTTGCGGCCATGAAGAACGAGGGGGCGTAACGCGGTGTTGTATCTTCTGCTTTTTCCACTGCATTCGACCTTTCCGATCTTCAACGTGTTCCGCTACATCACGTTCCGCGCGGCCCTGGCGGCGCTCGTGACGTTGCTGCTTTCGTTCATCATCGGCCCGTACCTCATCCGTGCGCTCAAGCAGTGGCAGATCGGGCAGCCCATTCGAGGGGACGGGCCGGACAGTCACGCCTCCAAGGCGGGCACCCCCACCATGGGGGGAACCCTGATCGTGCTGTCGCTGGTGCTGTCCACGGTGCTGGTGGGGGACGTCACCAACGTGTACGTGCTGGTGGCTCTCGCGGTGACCGTGGGATTCGCCGCCATCGGCTTCGTCGACGACATTCTCAAGGTCCGCCGCAAGAGCAGCCGCGGACTGGGCATGTGGAGCAAGCTCCTGCCGCAGATGGCCGTGGCCGGGGCGGCGACGGTGGTGCTGCTGCTGCAACCCGATTTCAGCAGCACCGTGGCCGTTCCCTTTTTCAAGAACGTGCAGCCGGACTTCGGCATCTGGTACGTCCCCTTCGCGGTGTTGGTGGTGGTGGGCACCTCCAACGCCGTAACCTCACCGACGGCCTGGACGGGCTGGCCATCGGGCCGGTGATGACCGCGGCGGCCACCTACGCGCTCATCGTGTATCTCGTGGGGCACGTGAAGTTCGCCGAATACCTGCAGATCCCCCACGTGTCCCGGGTCGGGGAGATGTCGGTGTTCTGCGCGGCCGTGGCGGCGGCGGGCCTGGGTTTTCTCTGGTTCAATGCCTACCCTGCCCAGATCTTCATGGGTGACGTCGGCAGTCTGGGGCTGGGGGCGGCGCTGGGGATCGTCGCGGTCATCAGCAAGAACGAGATCCTGTTGGTGGTGGTTGGGGGCGTCTTCGTGGTGGAGGCCGTGTCGGTGATCGTCCAGGTCGCGTCCTTCAAGTTGCGCGGCAAACGGGTCTTTCGCATGGCGCCGATCCACCATCACTACGAGCTCAAGGGTTGGGCGGAACCGCAGATCATCGTGCGGTTCTGGATCGTGTCGATCATTTGCGCGTTGTTCGCGTTGAGCACGCTGAAACTGCGCTGAGGAATCTTGGAGTGAGTCCGACAGGCGCGATGACTTGTAGGGGCGGGTTTCAAACCCGCCCGCGCCCGCATCCGCAGGGAGAAGGACCAGGCGGGAAACCGGTGATGGAACTCGAGGGCAGAAAAATCCTGGTGCTGGGGCTGGCCCGCACCGGCTTGGCGGTTGCCCGGTTTCTCGCCCATCGGGGCGCGCGGATCGTGGGGGCCGACGCGCGCGAGGATGACGGGATGCGGCAGGCCAGGAGCGAGCTGTCGCGGTTGTCCGCCGCCTGCCATCTCGGACCGGAGGAAACCGCCTGGCTCGACGGCGTGGACGCGGTGGTTCCCAGCCCCGGAGTGCCAAGGGACAATAAGCTGCTGGTGGAAGCCGCCCGTCGAGGCATCGAGGTGTTGAGCGAGATCGAGCTGGCCGCACGGTTCGGCCGCGCTCCCATGGTGGCCATCACCGGCACCAACGGAAAGACCACCACCACGCGGCTCGTGGCCGGCATCCTCGAGGCTGCCGGGCTGCGCGTCTTCGCCGGCGGCAACATCGGCAAGCCGCTGATCGAGTACGCGGACGGAACCTGGGACTGGGGCGTCGTGGAAGTGAGCAGTTTTCAACTCGAATGGGTCCGGGATTTTCGCCCCCGGGTCGCCCTGTGCCTCAATCTCAGCGAGGACCATCTCGACCGCTATGACGGGCTGGCGAGTTACGGCGCGGCCAAGGCCAGGATCTTCGCCGCCCAACACCCGGACGACGTCGCCGTGCTCAACCGCGACGACCCGTGGGTATGGGGTTTGCGCGAGGAACTGGGCGCCCGGGTGGTCTCCTTCGGCTGGTCGGAGGTGGAGGAGGGGGCTTTCGTCACGGAGGACGCCGTGGTCTGGCGTGGCAACGGCGACGAAGAGCGATTCCCGTTGCGGGACGTGAGGCTGCGCGGGGTCCACAACGTCGAGAACGTCATGGCGGCGGTGTGCGCGGCCAAGGCCGTGGGCGTCGAAGGACGCCACATCCGGACTGCCGCCAAGCGGTTTCCGGGCATCGAGCACCGTCTGGAGTTCGTACGGGAGCTCGACGGAGTGCGCTACTTCAACGACTCCAAGGGCACCAACGTCGGCGCCGTTCAGAAGTCGCTGGCCAGTTTCGACGGCCCCATCGTGCTGATTGCCGGCGGGGTCCACAAGGGCGGCAGCTACCGGGGACTGGAGCCGCTGGTCCGGGACCGGGTGCGCAGGCTGATCCTGTTGGGAGCATCCGCCGGCATCATGAAAGACGCTCTGGGAACGTTGGCCGACACCGTGGTGGTGAAGGATCTCCGGGAGGCGGTTCGCGAGGCCCGGGCCGCTGCCCGTGGCGGAGACGTGGTGCTCTTGTCGCCGGCGTGCTCGAGTTTCGACATGTTCGAGAACTACTCGGAACGGGGACGCGTGTTCAAGGAGCTGGTGCAAGCCCTATGAGCGGGTTTCGCAACATGGACCGCTGGATGCTCATGAGCCTGGTGGTGCTGCTCGCCATCGGCATCACCATGGTGCTGAACACCAGCTACCTCTTTTCCCAGGAACGCTTCGGCGACGGCACCTACCTCTTTCGCAAGCAGGTGGGGGCCACCGGCCTCGGCCTGGTGGGACTGTCCATCGCCTTGTTGCTGCCGCCGGCGGCCTATCGCCGCCTGGCCGTTCCGTCGCTCATCGTCGCCCTGATTGCCCTGGTGCTGGTGCTGGTCCCGGACGTCGGCGTGGTCCGCGGCGGCGCCCATCGTTGGCTGGGCGCGCCGCCGTTCGTGTTCCAGCCCTCGGAGCTGGCCAAGGTGAGCTTCGTGCTGTACCTGGCCTACTCCCTCTCCAGGAGAGCCGACCGGTTGGACCGTTTCGTGCCCGGGGTTCTGCCCCCGCTGCTGGTGACCGGCGTGTTCGTGGCCCTCCTGGTGGCCGAGCCGGATTTCGGCTCCGCGTTCATTCTCGCCGTCGTCGCCATGGCCATGCTGTTCGTCGCCGGGAGCCGTGTGAAGCACCTGGCCTACGTGACGCTGGCGGCGCTTCCGGCCGCGGCCTTCCTCATCATGTCCGCCGACTACCGGGTGAAACGGATGTTGACGTTTCTGGACCCCTGGAGTGATTCCGCCGACAGCGGCTTCCAGATCATCCAATCCTACATCGCCTTCGGCTCCGGCCAGTTGTGGGGGCGAGGGTTGGGACAGAGCCGGCAAAAGCTCTTCTACCTCCCGGAAGCGCACACGGACTTCATCTACTCGGTGATCGGCGAGGAGCTGGGCTTGTGGGGCGCGCTGCTGGTGGTAGCGCTCTTCGGCGTCCTGCTGTTTCGCGGCATGCGGCTGGCCCTGGAGAGCGAGGACTCCTTTACCCGGTTGATGGTGTTCGGTCTCACCGTGCTCCTGGGGCTTCAGGCGCTGGTCCACATGAGCGTGGTCATGGGCCTGGTGCCCACCAAGGGGCTGGTGCTGCCGTTCGTCAGCTACGGCGGCTCGGCCCTGGTGGTTCACATGACGGTGGCGGGGATTCTCCTGAGCGTTTCCTGGCGGAGGGCCCAGCCATGCGACTGATCGTCGCCGGCGGCGGCACCGGCGGACATCTCTTTCCCGGCCTTGCCGTGGCCCGGGAATTTCGCCGGCGGAACGGAGACGCCCGCATTCTTTTCGTGGGCAGCCGGTGGGGCATCGAGAGCCGGGTCATCCCGGAGACGGAGTTCCCCCTGGAGCTGTTGCCCATCCGTGGCCTCAAGGGGCGGGGTCTCAAGGGACTGCTGGAGGGCCTCTACGGGATACCCATGAGCCTGTGGCAATCGCGCGCCATCATCCGCCGCTTCGATCCTCAATGCATCATCGGCCTCGGGGGCTACGCCTCGGGTCCGCTGCTGCTGGCCGGCGCGTCACGGCGCATCCGCTGCGCCATCCTGGAGCAGAACCTGCGCCCCGGACTCACCAACCGTGTCCTGGGACGGCTGGTGGACCGGATCTTCACGAGCTTCCGCGAGAGCATCGAGTATTTTCCCCGGGCCAAGGTGGTGCTGACCGGCACGCCGGTGCGTTGGCGCAAGCTCCCCGAGGTGGACCGGGAGAGACCGGTTCCATCTGCTCGTCTTCGGCGGCAGCGCGGGCGCCCACCGCATCAACGAGGCGGTCTTGGGCGCGTTGGCGCACTGGGCGACGCCGCGGCCGGGTTCCGGGTCACCCACCAGACCGGGCGCGCGGATGAGGAGCTGGTGAGAAAGGGCTACGAGTCGCTCCCGTGCGAGGCGGAGGTGCTGCCTTTCATCGACCGGATGGACGGCGCCTATGCGGCGGCCGACCTGGTGATCTGCCGCGCCGGCGCCTCGACCCTGTCGGAGCTTGCCGTCTTCGGCAAGCCCTCGGTGCTGATCCCGTATCCGTACGCGGCCCACGACCATCAACGGCTCAACGCGCTGGCCCTTCGAGGAAGCCGGCGCCGCCGAAGTGATGGTGGAGCGCGAGCTGACGGCTCCGGGGTTGGCGAACACCATCCGCGCGCTCCATGGCGACGCCGCGCGGCGGGAGGCCATGGCCCGGGCCGCGGCGCGCCTCGCCCGTGGGGATGCGGCCGAACGAATCGTGGACGAGTGCCATGCCCTCGTCCCGGGGTGGTGATGATGGTGCCGACGTCCTTCGAAAGACGCCACCGCGTGCATTTCGTCGGCATCGGCGGCGTCGGGATGAGCGGTATCGCGGAGGTCTTGTTGAACCTGGGTTACGAAATAAGCGGCTCGGATCTTCAGGAAAACGACGCCACGCGGCGGCTGCGCTCCCTTGGGGCGGAAGTCCGCATCGGCCATGATGCCGCAAACCTGGCCGACGCCCTTTCGGTGGTGGTGATCTCCACCGCGGTGAAGTTCTCCAACCCGGAGGTGATGGCGGCCAAGGAGCGAAAGATCCCGGTGATCCCGCGGGCCGAGATGCTCGCCGAGCTCATGCGCATGAAGTACGGCATCGCGGTGGCGGGAAGCCACGGGAAGACCACCACCACGTCGATGATCGGCCACGTCCTGACCGCGGCGCGGATGGACCCGACCCTGGTCATCGGCGGCCGGGTGCGCTCCCTGGCCGGCAACGCGCAGATGGGCCGGGGCGACATCCTGGTGGCCGAGGCCGACGAGAGCGACGGCACCTTCCTGCTGCTGTCGCCGGCGGTGGCGGTGGTGACCAATATCGACCGTGAGCACATCGAGTACTACGGCACCACGGAAGGGCTGGCCGACGCGTTCCTGGAGTTCATCAACAAGGTGCCTTTCTACGGAGTTGCGGTGCTTTGCCTCGACCATCCGACGGTTCGCGGGCTGATACCCCGGGTGAAGAAGCGAGTGGTCACCTACGGCCTTTCGGGGGACGCCGACTTCAGCGCCGAGGGCGTTCGAACCCGGCAGATGGAGTCGACGTTCACCGTCCTGCACCAACGCCGGTTGCTGGGGCCGGTGACGTTGCCGATGCCGGGCCGGCACAGCGTCGCCAACGCCCTGGCGGCCATTGCCGTTGCCGCGGAGTTGGGCATCGACTTTACCGCCGCGGCCGCGGCCCTGGGCGCCTTCGCCGGCATCCACCGCCGGTCGGAGATCAAGGGAGAGGTGGCCGGGGTTCTGGTCATGGACGATTACGGACACCATCCCACGGAGATCGAGACCACCCTGCAGGCCATCGCCGAAGGCTGGGGGCGTCCCCTGACGGTGGTGTTTCAGCCGCACCGTTACAGCCGCACCAAGGATCTGTTCGAGGACTTCGTTTCCGCGTTCGACCGGGTTCACCGGTTGATCCTCACGGACGTCTACGGCGCGGGGGAAGACCCGATTCCGGGAACGAGCGGCGAGGAGCTGTGCCGGGCCATCAGGCGCCGGGGTCACATGGACGTGGAGTTCGTGGCCGCAAAGGAGGACGTGGCCGGCGGGCTGCTGCCGCGGCTCTCGGACGGAGACATGGTTCTCACCCTCGGGGCCGGGGACATTTACAAGGTTGGGGAGGCGCTGCTTGAGTCCTTGCGGGAACAGAGGCAATGACGCCGTTGACCACGGAGTTGGGCCGCATCGCCGGGGTTGCGGTGAAGGTGCGCGAGCCGTTGGCCCGCTACACCTCCTTCAAGGTCGGCGGCCCCGCGGACTATTTCGTCGAGGCGCAAACGAGCCCCGGCTTGACCGCATGCCTGAAGCTCATGGCGTGCGGCGGCGTGCCGGTCTTGTTGCTGGGCAACGGCAGCAACCTGCTGGTGAGCGATCAGGGCGTGCGCGGCGCCGTGTTGCGGTTGCGGGGCGAGTTTCGCCGGGTGCACTGGCACCGCGCCGGGGCCGGCGTGGGCGCGGCCCAGGCGGTGAGCCGGTTGGTGCGGGAGGCCGTGCGCCGCGGGTTGGGCGGTCTGGAGTTCGCGGAGGGGATCCCCGGCAGCGTGGGCGGCTCCCTGGTGATGAACGCCGGGGCCTATGGATCGGAAATGGAGCGGGTCGTGACCAGGGTTGACGCGGTGACCGCCGCCGGCGAGCCGCTGGCATTCGGACGCGAGGAGCTGCGGTTCTCCTACCGTGACGCCCGGCTGCCCCACGGCGCCATCGTCACCCGTGTCGGGATGGCTCTCACGCCGGAGACGCCGGAGGCGGTGGATGCACGCATGCGGGCCATCATGGCGCGGCGGAGAGAGAGCCAACCGTCCGGCCACCCGAACTTCGGATCGGTCTTTCGCAATCCGCCCGGGGATCACGCCGGAAGGCTGATCGAGGCGTCGGGGCTCAAGGGCCTGCGCGTGGGCGGCGCCGAGGTCTCCCGGCGGCACGCCAACTTCATCGTCAATCGCGGCGGCGCCCGGGCTCAGGACGTTCGGCGACTGATCGAGCAGGTATGCAGCGAGGTGGAGAGCCGGTTTTCGGTGACGTTGCAAACCGAGGTCCGTTCGCCGGGGAGTGGCCGCGGTGAGCATGCAAACGGGTACTCATCGGACCCGGCGGGTGGGGGTCCTGTACGGCGGCCCTTCCGCGGAAAGGGAGGTGTCGCTGGTGTCGGGCAAGGAGGTCGCCGGCGCCTTGCGGCAGCGGGGCTACAAGGGTGTGTCCCTTGTCGACGTGGGGCCGGACCTGCCCGCACAACTCCGGAAGCGGCGGATCGAGGTGGTCTTCAACGCGCTTCACGGCAAGATCGGCGAGGACGGTTGCGTGCAGGGGCTGCTGGAGGTCATGGGCATCCCCTATACCGGTTCGGGCGTCACCGCCTCGGCGCTGTGCATGGACAAGGTGTTGGCCAAGCAGGTACTGGCGCGAAACCGCATCGCCACGCCGCCCTATGAGGTGGTGGCCGAGGAGCGGTGGCAGACCTCCAGGCTGCCGTTGCCGGTGGTCGTCAAGCCGCCGGTCGAGGGGTCCAGCATCGGCGTCACCATCGTGCGGCGGCGCCGGGACATGGCTCGCGCGGTTTCGGAGGCTTGCCGGTTCGACCGGGACGCGCTGGTGGAGCAATACGTGGCCGGCAAGGAAATCACCGTGGGGATCCTGAACGGCGAGGCGCTGGGAGTCACCGAGATCAGGCCGGTGAAGGGCTTCTACGACTTCAAGACCAAGTACACCTCGGGCATGGCTTCCCACATCTTTCCGGCGCCCTTGCCGGGTGCGCTCTATCGCAAGGCCATGCGGCTGGCCGCCCGGGCCTGTGCGGTGCTGGGGTGCGAAGGGGCGCCGCGGGTGGACTTCCGGATCTCCCGGGAACAGCGGTTGTACGTGCTTGAGGTCAACACGCTGCCGGGGATGACCCCCCTGAGTCTGTTGCCGGAGATCGCCGCGGGGGTCGGCATCGGCTTCGGGGACCTGGTCGAGCGGATTCTCGACCGGGCGGCGCTGAAGAACGGAGCGGCCGGTGCGAAAAGCGCGCCGTCGAGGGAGGCGGGCAATGGTTAATCCGTTGGGCCGATTCGGGAAGGCCGGCGGCCGTCGAGGGGCCATGTGGGCGGCGGGCCTCGCGCTGTGCGGGCTGATGCTGCTCGGGTGGCTGTACGACGGATACTCCGTCGAGATCTACCGGCAGGTGCGGCGGGGGTTGGAAAACGCGGCGGGCGGGGTTCAGGCGGTGGTCCGAAAGACCTCGGCCTTTGTTCTGACGCACCCCTATTTCGCCATCCGCGAGGTCAAGGTGCTGGGGGCCGAGAAGGTCAAGGGGGCGGACATCGTGGTGATGTCGGGGCTGGGGCCGCACACCCGAATCTGGAACATCGATCCCGCCGAGGTCGAGGAACGGGTGCGGCGGCATCCGTGGGTCAAGGCGGTTCTGATACGCCGGGAACTGCCGGCGCGCCTGGTGATCACCGTCGAGGAATGGCGCCCCGGTGCCATCGTCGCCCTGGACAAGCTGTACTACGTGGCCGACAACGGCGTGATCTTCAAGGCTCTCGACGAAGAGGACTCGGTCGACTTTCCGTTCATCACCGGACTGCGGGCCGCGGAGCTTCCTCCGCGGGAACCCGGGACGCGGAAAAAGCTGTCCCAGGCAGTGGCCTTCGGACAGACGGTGGAGCGGGCCGCGCTGGGCCTGTCCGAGATCCGTTTTCAGCCCGGCGGCGGCATCGTGCTCTATCCGGTCTCCTATTCGGTGCCGTTCCATGTCGGTTGGGGCGACTGGGACGAGAAGCTGAACCGGCTGCAGTGGTTCCTGCGGGAGTTCCAGGGACAGGGAGCCCGATTCAAGGCCGTCGACTTGAGCTTCCGGGGGCAGGTGGTAGCGCGCCCCCGGAAAAGGGTGTGACTCGATGGACATGATCAATGAAAGAGGCGGGAAGACCCATGGCTAAGAAGACCAATGTCGTTGTCGGGCTCGATATCGGAACCCACAAGATCTGCGCCGTGGTGGGAGAGCAGACGGACCAGGGACCGGAAGTGGTGGGCGTCGGTATCCACCCGTCGCGGGGCTTGAGGAAGGGCGTGGTGATCAATGTCGAGGCCACCATGGAAGGCATCAAGAAGGCGGTGGAGGAGGCCGAGATCATGGCCGGGTGCGAGATCAACACGGTCTTTGCCGGAATTGCCGGGGGGCACATCCGGGGGTTCAACAGCCATGGTGTCGTGGCCGTCAAGAACAAGGAAGTGACCGACGCCGATGTGGACCGGGTCATCGACGCGGCCAAGGCAGTGGCCATCCCCATGGACAGGGAAGTGCTCCACGTGTTGCCGCAGGAATTCGCCATCGACGGCCAGGGCGGCATCCAGGAGCCCCGGGGCATGGCCGGGGTCCGGCTGGAGGCCAGCGTGCACATCGTCACGGGGGCGGTGGCCGCGGCGCAGAACGTCATCAAGTGTTGCAATCGAACCGGTCTCAACGTGGCGGATTTCGTACTCGAGCCGCTGGCGTCCGCCGACGCGACCTTGACCCAGGAAGAGAAGGAACTGGGCGTGGCGCTGGTGGACATGGGCGGCGGCACCACCGACATCGCGTTGTTCCATGGCGGCTCGGTGAAGCACACGGCGGTGCTGGGCGTGGGAGGAAACCACGTCACCAGCGACATCGCCGCCGGCTTGCATGCCCCGATGGCGGCCGCGGAGCAGTTGAAGCAGCGTTACGGATGCGTGGGAACCGACCTGATCAACCGCGACGATATGCTGGAGGTGCCCAGCGTGGGAGGACGGAGCCCGCGCTCGGTGTCACGTCAGATCCTGTGCGAAATCATCGAGCCTCGCCTGGAGGAAGTCTTTCATATGGTGCGGCGGGAGATCGGCAAGTCCGGCTATGAGGACCACCTGGTGTCGGGCATCGTGATGACAGGCGGCTCCACGCTCCTGCCGGGAATCATCGAGATGGCGGAAAGGATCTTCAACGTGCCGGTGCGCCAGGGCGTGCCGGCCAACGTCACGGGTCTGGTGGACGTGGTCTCCAGTCCGGTCTACGCCACCGGCACCGGGCTTCTTCTGTACGGCCTCGGGCAACAGGACCGGAATCCGTTTCGGATCCGGGACAGCGACCCTCTGTTCTATAAGGTCCGGGGCCGGATGACGGAGTGGTTCAAGGAGTTCTTCTAGCGGGAAGAAGGTGGAAGCGGGCGGCCCGGCGGGGGTTCGGTCACTCGCTTCCGGTGAATTGAACACGATTGTGCAACTGGAAAAAAGGAGGAAGTGTTATGTTCGAAATGGTGGAACCGATTGATTCAGGAGCGCGGATCAAGGCTATCGGTATCGGCGGCGGTGGCGGCAACGCGATCAACACCATGGTCGAGGTGGGACTCAAGGGTGTGGATTTCATCGTGGCCAACACCGACAGCCAGGCGCTGGACGCGAGCAAAGCCGACATCAAGGTCCAGATCGGGGACTCCCTGACCAAGGGACTCGGGGCCGGCGCCAATCCGGAAGTGGGCCGCCGCGCGGCGATGGAGGACAAGGAGCGCATCCGTGAATACCTCACGGGCGCGGACATGATCTTCATCACCGCGGGGATGGGCGGAGGCACGGGTACCGGGGGCGCGCCGGTCATTGCCAGCGTGGCGCGGGAAGTGGGGGCGCTCACGGTGGGCGTGGTGACCAAGCCCTTCATCTTCGAAGGGAAGCGCCGCATGCAACAGGCGGAAGAAGGGATCCGGGAGCTCAAGGACAAGGTCGATACCCTCGTGGTCATCCCGAACCAACGGCTTCTCAGCATCGCCGGCAAGTCCACGACGTTGCTGGAGACCTTCAAGGTGGCCGACAGTGTGGTGACGCAAGCGGTCCGGGGAATCGCGGACCTGATCGTCACACCCGGGCTCATCAACCTCGACTTCGCGGACATTCGCACGGTCATGAAGGAGATGGGATTCGCGCTCATGGGGGCGGCCTCCGCTACGGGCGAGAACCGGGCGATCGAGGCAGCCCAGCAGGCCATCTCCAGCCCGCTGCTGGAGGATGTATCCATCAACGGCGCCCGCGGCGTCCTGATCAACGTCACCGGCGGTCCGGACATGAGCCTGTTCGAGGTCAACGAGGCGGCGACCCTGATTCAGGCTGAAGCCCACGACGATGCGACCATCATTTTCGGCGCGGTGATCGACGAGAGTCTCGAAGACGAGCTTCGGATCACGGTCATTGCCACGGGGTTCGGCGACAGCGGAGTCCGGATGCCGGAACCGACTCCGACGGAACAGCGGCAAGCGCCAACGCAGAAGCAGGGGTCGCTGGGGCTGGGTCTCAGGGACACCAAGGGCAGGAAGGTCGTTCACCTCGGTACGCTGGAGGATGACGGGTTCGGCGAGCCTAACTGGCAGCGCGGGGATTCAGGGAAGGATTCAGGCACATCGAAAGTCACCTACGACCTCAAGGAGGAGGAGGTGACCGAGGACGACTTCGATATTCCGACGTTCTTGCGCAAGCGGATGGACTAGTCGTCCGGCAGTCTTGTCGTTGCCGGGTCTGCATCGGCGTTGCCGGGTTCGACACCCGTCCCCGCACCGTTCCTCCGGCGCTGCAAGAGGAGCGGAAGGGCTCCCCAGACCCCGAGGATCAGGCCGGCCAGGGCCCAGCCGGTCTGATGGCGCCCGCCGTGCCGGGCAATGATGAGGCAAAGTATGCCGTTGCACAGGTGAATGGCGGCCAAGGTTGCCAGCAACGCGTGCGGCTCGATGTCCGGCTTGATGAAATAGACGCCTGAAGCGTATGCGAGCAGTTCGGTAAGGTCCGCCATTCGTCGACACTTGACGGTGGTTCTTGGCATACTATATTTGAGCGTAGCCGAAAGATAAACCGACATGACCGTGAGAACCATTGAATGGCGGGCTGGCGAGGTGATCCTCATCGACCAGCGGCGACTCCCCCGCAAAGAGGTCTACCGGGTCTGCCGCAACTACCGGCAGGTTGCCCAGGCCATCCGCACCATGGTGGTTCGCGGCGCCCCCGCCATCGGCGTCGCCGCGGCCATGGGCGTTGCCTTGGGCGCGCGCCGCATCAGGCATCCGAAGTCGGTCGGGTCGGTCATGGAGCGGGTTTTCCGCACGCTGGAAGACACCCGGCCCACGGCCGTGAACCTTCATTGGGCGCTGGCGCGCATGCGGCGGACCTATGAGGAGAACAAGGACGGCGGCCTGGAGTTGCTGAAGCAGCGACTCGAGGACGAGGCCATGGAGATTTACGAGGATGACATCGCCGCGAATCGCAGGCTCGGCGGCCTGGGCGCCGGGCTGCTCAAGGGCTCGCGGCGCATTCTGACCCATTGCAATGCCGGCGCTCTGGCCACCGCCGGTTACGGTACCGCCCTGGGGGTGCTGCGGGCGATGAAGGAATCGGGCGCGGCCATCGACGAAGTGTTCGTGGACGAGACCCGGCCCTTCCTTCAGGGCTCCCGGCTGACGGCATGGGAATTGCTCAAGGAGGAGATCCCGGTAACTCTCATCACCGACAGCATGATGGGCTACGTGATGCAAAGCAGGCAGGTCGATGCCGTTGTCGTGGGAGCTGATCGCGTGGCCGCCAACGGGGACGTGGCCAACAAGATCGGAACCTACACGGTGGCGGTGCTGGCCCAGAGGCACGGCGTGCCCTTTTACGTGGCGTGCCCCACCTCCACGGTGGACCTCGGGTGTCCATCCGGAGCCGACATTCCGATCGAGCAACGAAGCCAGGATGAGGTGACCCACATCGCGGGAAGCCGCATCGCGCCGGACGGAGTCCATACGCTGAATCCGGCTTTCGACGTGACCGACCATTCATTGGTCTCGGCCATCATCACGGAGAAGGCGGTGGTTACGCCGCCCTATAAAAAGAATCTGCGGGCTGTGTGTTCTTCGACTTCGCTGCGCTACACTTGAAACGAACGCATGGGAAAATGTGATCCCCGTTCGTCCTGAGCCTTCGACAAGCTCAGGACAGGCGGAGCGAAGTCGAAGGACCCCATTTGAAATGAGCGGTAGCCAATGTCCGTAATTGAGAGACAAGACGAGCTGGAAGCCTTCTTTCACGACGCCGGCAAGCCTCGTGAGCAGTGGCGCGTGGGCACGGAGTACGAGAAGGTGGGGATCGAGCGCGACACCGCCAAGGCGCTGTCGTATTCCGGGCCGCGCGGCGTCCGGGTCATCCTCGAAGGTCTGGTGAGCGACTACGGTTGGGAGCCGCAAGAGGAAGGCGGTTTCGTCATCGGCTTGATGCGCGGCAACCACGCCATCACCCTGGAACCGGGCGGCCAGATCGAGCTGAGCGGCGAGCCGTGCGACGACATTCACTGCAGCAACGCCGAGTTCTCACAGCACATCCGCGAGTTGATCGACGTGGCCGGCCGGTTCGATGTGGTGTTCCTCGGCCTGGGAATCCAGCCCTTCAGCCGCGTCGACGAGATCGAGTGGCTGCCCAAGCGGCGCTACCGCATCATGGGGCCGTACATGGCCAAGGTGGGAACCCTGGGCCAACGCATGATGAAGCAGACCGCCACCGTGCAGGCCAACATCGACTTCGGTGACGAGGCGGACGCCATGGCCAAGCTGCGAACCGCCATGGGTCTGGCGCCGGTCATCGGCGCGGCCTTCGCCAACTCGCCCATTTCGGACGGAAAGCCCAACGGCTTCAAAAGCTACCGGGGCCACATTTGGACCCACACGGATCCGGACCGGTGCGGGCTGCTGGAATTCTGTTTTTCCCCCGACGCCGGCTTCCACCACTACGTGGAGTACGCTCTCGACGTGCCGATGTACCTCATCGCCCGGGACGGGCACTACGTGGACATGACCGGGATTCCGTTCCGCCGGTTTCTGGAGCAGGGCCACCAGGGCCACTACGCGACCATGGAGGACTGGCAGCTCCATCTCACGACGCTGTTCCCCGAGGTGCGGCTCAAGCACTACATGGAGTTTCGCTCCGCCGACAGCCAGGCGCCGGAGTTGATGCCGGCCTTGCCCGCGCTCATCAAGGGCATCTTCTACGACGCCGACTGCCTCCAGGCCGCATGGGACCTGGTCAAGGGATGGTCTTTCGACGAGCGCATGACCGCCTATCACGGCTCTCACCGGGACGGCCTGGCCGCACGATTTCGGCGCTATTCCCTGGGTGATTTGGCAAAGGAGATGGTCGATATCGCCTGGGAAGGGCTGACGCGGCAACGAAGTTTGAACCGGCGCGGCGAGGACGAGACCATTCACCTGAAGCCGCTGCGCGACCTGCTCCACCAAGGGCTGTGCCCCGCCGACGTCATTCTCTCCAAGTGGCGCGGCGAGTTCCGCCAGGACCTCCGAGCGCTCATCGAGGACAGCTCCTACAAGCTGCGGTGAACGCGGCCGTTGCGCCCCTTCCATCCTGGATTCCCGCTTCCGCGTGAACAACGGCCTCGGGGCGTCACTACCATTTCCTACCCATGACGGTTGCGGAGCATCACTGTCTGTATTGCAACCGAAATGCTGGACTTTCGGCGCGCGTCGCGCTAGTATGCCCCCGTCTTTCCGAAACGCTCCGGAGCGGCCAGGCTGAGCCGGCCGACTCGACAAGCGGAGAAACGGAAGGATGTGAACTGCCGCTTGGATCCGGGGGGGCCGGACCGAGACGGATGAGACATTCTGGATTCTATCGTCTCCAACGGTAGCGGGATGGCCTTCCGGCTTGGTTCGGAAGGCTTTTTTCGTGGAGGTTTTGTTTCGAGGAGGGTTACCGATGGGACGGAAAATGACGGTGCCGGAAGTCTGCAGCATGAAGGAAAAAGGCGAGAAGATCGTCTGCCTCACGGCCTATGACTATTGTCTCGCCCGCATTCTGGACGAATCCGGTATCGATATCCTTCTGGTTGGCGACTCACTGGGGTCGGTGGTGCAGGGACACGACAGCACGCTGCCCGTCACGGTTGACGATGTCATCTACCACACCAAGGCGGTGGTACGCGGACGCCGGCGTGCCCTGGTGGTGTCGGACATGCCCTTCATGACGTTCCAGTTGGGAGTGGACGAAGCCAAGCGCAACGCCGGCAGGCTGGTCCAGGAAGGGGGCGCCGAGTCCGTCAAGCTGGAAGGCGGCGTGACCCAGGCCGCCACCATCGAGGGGCTGGTGAAGATGGGCGTGCCGGTCATGGGCCACGTGGGCCTCACCCCCCAGTCGGTGCATCAGTTCGGCGGCTACCGGATTCAGGGTCGCGGCGAGGCCGACGCCCGGGCCATCCTCGACGACGCCATGGCGGTGGAGCAAGCGGGCGCCTTCGCGGTGGTGCTGGAAGGCATGCCCGTGCAACTGGCCCGGGAGATCACCCAGCGCGTGTCCATTCCCACCATCGGCATCGGCGCCGGCATGCACTGCGACGGACAGATCCTGGTGGTCCACGACATGCTGGGACTGTTCGACGACTTCACGCCGAAGTTCGTCAAGCGCTACGCCAATCTGAAGGAGACCATCGGCGGCGCGGTCCGGAGCTACATGGAAGAGGTGCGGACAGAGGCCTTCCCGGCGGAGGAGCACACGTTCCATTGAGAAGGTGACCGTTCAAACGCTTGGCACCGACGGGGAGGGGCGCTTGTAACCGTCCGTCCTGAGCGTAGCAAAGCGAAGTCGAAGGACGCTCGCGATGAGCCTTTCCCCATGGCAGGGTTACCCAACATTTCTGACATCCGGGAGATGCAGGCGTGGAGTGACCATGCCCGCCGCGAGGGAAAGCGCATCGTCATGGTGCCTACCATGGGCTTCCTGCACGAAGGTCATCTGAGCTTGGTGCGCCAGGGGCGGAAGAAGGGCGACTGCCTGGTTGTATCCATCTTTTGCCAATCCGACGCAGTTCGCGCCCACCGAGGACTTCGACAGCTATCCGCGGGACCTGGAGCGCGACGTCAGGTTGCTGGTGGAGGAGCGGGCGGACCTCCTCTTCAACCCCACGGCCGAGGACATGTACCCGCGGGGGTATCAGACCTACGTGGACGTGGAGCAGGTCAGTCGGCCGCTGTGCGGCGCGCACCGGCCGGGGCATTTCCGCGGTGTGGCCACGGTGGTGCTGAAGCTGTTCAACATCGTGCGCCCGCACGTGGCCATGTTCGGATTGAAGGACTACCAGCAGGTCCAGGTCATCCGGCGTATGATGGAGGACGTGAACCTGGATGTGGAGATCGTAGGGTGTCCCACCGTGCGGGAGCCCGACGGCTTGGCCATGAGCTCGCGCAACCGCTACCTGGAGCCGGCCGAGCGCGAGGCGGCGCTGTGTCTTCAAAGCGCCCTGGGCAAGGCCGAAGCGCTGGTGCGCGGCGGCGAGACCGCGGCCCAAAGGATTCGTGAGGCCGTGGTGGCGGAGATCTCCCGCCAGCCCCTGGTCCGCCTGGAGTACGCGGATCTGTGCGACCCCAAGGCGTTGCACGCGGTGGAAGAGGTCAAGGGTCCGACGCTGCTGGCCCTCTGCGCATGGGTCGGCAAGGCCCGCTTGATCGACAACCGGATCCTGGCAGGAGAGAGAGCGTAAGCGGCCCTACCCCTCCGCTGAATGCACAGGCCGCGGAAACCGACGAATCGAAGACCGTCTCATGGCTTCTACCAGGGAAACAAATCAGAAAAACATCGCCGTAAACCGGCGGGCCCGCCGGGAGTACTTCATCGACGAGTCCTTCGAGGCCGGCATGGTGCTGCTCGGCAGCGAGGTCAAATCGCTCCGGGACGGACGCGCGAATCTGGCGGACAGCTACGCCCGGGTCGACAAGGGCCAACTGTTTCTCGTCAACACCCACATCAGCCCGTACCCGGCGGCCAACATCTTCAATCACGAGCCCACCCGGCCGCGAAAGCTGCTGCTGCACAAGCGCGAAATATCGAGGCTCATGGGAAAGGTGAAGGAGCGCGGCTTGACCTTGATCCCATTAAAGCTATACTTCAAGGACGGACGCGCCAAGGTGGAGTTGGGTTTGGCCCGAGGAAAGAAGCTCTACGACAAGCGCGCCACGGTCAAGGAGAAGATGGTCCGGCGGGAGATGGAACGCTCCATGAAGAGCCGCAGAAGTTGACCGCCGGGAACTTCTTATTATTGGGGGCGATATGGGTTCGACGGGGGTGGGAAGTCAAAGTGGCATGCCGGGGTCCTGTTGCCCCGTTAAAAAAGCAGGACTGCTGTAACTGCAGACAATAACGAATACGCCCTGGCTGCTTAGACAGCCAGCGTCTTGCCGTCCTTCTCCCGCGGGGTCGGACAAGGCGTCATTCAGCGGGATGGACCGATTCCCCTGCCGGAGGGGATGAGGTCGAGATCCAAACCGGCTGGCCGAGCAAGCCCCTGTCGTCGGGGGCTTTCGAGGCGAGACTTAAACGACGACTAAGCATGTAGTCACTTCTGGCGGAAAGCTTTCGGACGGGGGTTCGATTCCCCCCGCCTCCACCAATTTGAAAAAGACAACCCGTCTCTCTGGGGTCATTCTCCGGGGTGACGGGTTTTTTTCGCCGTAGAAGGCGAATGCCGCACTTGGTGAGCTGACCTCAGACGAGATGAGCCATCTCGGTACCGGTGAATATCCCGTTCCGATATACTCGGGCCTACCAACTTCCATTTACTCATTATATTGAGTAATATTACTCAGTATGTTGAGTAATTTGTCTTACGTACGCCCTCAGGCCGTCGAGTTGCGCAGCCGTCTGCGCGAGCCGCGCCGGTTCCTCCAGATCATCACCGGGGCGCGGCAGGTGGGTAAGACGACCCTGATCACACAGGTCGCCGAGCAGTCCGAGTTGGAGCATCGCTTCGCCAGCGCTGACGAACCGACCTTGCGCGGGCCGGAGTGGATCGCGCAACAGTGGGATGCGGCAAGGCTCATGGCGGACCATGCGGAGGACCAGAGGGCACTGCTCGTCCTGGATGAGGTGCAGAAAGCGCCCAACTGGGCGGAGGCCGTCAAGCGCCTGTGGGATGAGGACACGCGGAGCCGGCGGCAGCTCAGGGTGGTGCTGTCGGGTTCGGCACAGCTCTTGATCGGACGGGGGCTGACCGAAAGTCTCGCGGGGACGTTTCGAGCTCCTGCACCTGCCGCACTGGAGCCTTCCCGAAATGCAAGAGGCCTTCGGATGGTCTCTGGAGCGATTTCTGTTCTACGGCGCCTATCCCGGAGCGGTGCCGCTGGTGAGACAGCCGGCTCGGTGGTCTCGCTACATCCGCGACTCGCTCATCGAACCGATGATCGCCCGGGACGTGCTGTTGCTTTCCCGTGTGGACAAACCGGCATTGTTGCGCCGGTTGTTCGAGTTGGGGTGCGCGTATTCGGGTCAGATCCTTTCGTACACGAAGATGCTGGGCCAACTCCAGGACGCGGGGAACACGACCACGCTGGCTCACTATCTCGAACTGCTCGCCGGCGCGGGCGTGCTGACGGGCCTGCAGAAGTACGGCGGCGAGGTGGCGCGACGAAGCTCCAGCCCGAAGCTGCAGGTCCTCAACACGGCCTTGATGACCGCCCGGACGCGTCTGACGCTGGCGCAAGCGCGCACGGATCGCGAGTTCTGGGGACGGCTGGTGGAGTCCGCGGTGGGCGCCCATTTGGCCAATGCGGCTTCCGGCGGCTCGTGCGAGGTCTTCTACTGGCGCCACCGCAACCGTGAGGTGGATTTCGTGGTGCGCGCGGGCCAGGCGGTAACCGCCATCGAGGTCAAAAGCGGACGCGCCCGCCAGACGCCGCCGGGATTGGCCGCCTTCGCCAATGTCTTTCAGCCTGTTCGCACCCTGCTTGTTGGCGGCGACGGCATCCTCGTCGAGGAGTTCCTGTCGAAACCGGTGGAGTATTGGGTAAATGCGTGAGCCGATTTCGTCGGAGGTCGTCTTGCACGGGTCCTCTTCCACCGACCCCGCTCAGCCTCACCCGTGGTCCGGGATGCCTTCGTAGGCGTGCTTGCCCCAGATCTCCTTCACTCGACTGTCGCGGCCGCAGCTAAACCGGTAGTAGCGGTAGCGGAGCGGGTTATTCGTGTAATAGTCCTGGTGATAATCTTCCGCGGCGTAGAACGGCTTGGCGGCCAGGATCGGGGTGACGATGGGTTTGTCGACCCTCTTTTGCGCCGCTTTCTTGGAAGCCTCGGCAAGGCCACGTTCCTTCTCGTTCGCGGCGAAAACCGCGGTCTCGTAGGACTGGCCGCGGTCGCAGAACTGGCCGCCGCCATCGGTCGGATCCACCGAGTGCCAGAACGCGGTGAGCAGGGCCTCGTAGCTGACCTTGGCCGGATCGTAGGTGATCTCGACCGCCTCGTAGTGGCCCGTGCCTCCGCCGTGACCTGCCGGTAGGTCGGGTCTTTGGTCTTGCCGCCGGTATAGCCGGAGACGTTGAGACGACGCCCCGGCACCTTGTCGAAATCCGACTCGACGCACCAGAAGCAGCCGCCGGCGAAGATCGCCTTTTCGAGTTGCTGCGCGCTCGCGGTGTGGGCGAAGAGCAATAGTGCCGCGGCAACTATCAGCATGGTCCTTTTCATGATCTGCCTCCGTGTAGTTCGGCCTGAATGGGAGCGCTTGCCTCCACGATAGCGGTTTCCAGCAACACGCCGCAAGACGGGCAGTAGATCTTCATGGCGTTCCGGTTGGGGGTTGGTTCACCGTGTGCCCGGCGGTGGTCATATCAACGACCTCGACTGGCAGCCGTCGACGTTGATGCAGGCCCGGAGATCCAGTTGGCCCGGTCCGAGGCGAGGAAGACCACGACGTCGGCCACTTCCTCGGGGTGCCGAAACGGCCGGCGGGGAGCTCGCGTTTGACGAACTCCGCGATGTCCTGGGGGTTTTCCTTTTGGCGCCGGTCCCAGCCGCCGCCGGGAAACAGGATCGAGCCGGGGGCGACGCTGTTGACGCGAACGCCGTGGGGCGCCAGCTCCCGTGCCATCTCCTTGGACAGGCTGATCATCGCCGCCTTGGCGGCGTTGTAGGTCATGGGTCCGCCCCACTCCCGGCCGTAGATGGATGCGATGTTGATGACGCAACCCCGTTGGCGGTCCTGCATGGCCGGCACCACGAGGCGGCAGAGGTCGAGGGCGGAAAGAAGTTCAGGGAAAAACCGCGGTGCCAGTCGTCGTTCGAGGCGGAAAGGTTCCCGCCGGGGCGCGAGCCGCCGACGTTGTTCACGAGAATGTCGATGGTTTGGTACCGGTCCCGGGTCTCGTCGAACCACCGGCGCGCCGCGTTCTCGTCGGTGACGTCCAGGGTCGATGAAAGGACCTCCGCACCGCTTGCCCGGAGCTCGCTGACGGTTTCATCGAGATCCTCCCGGCCTCGGGCGCAAAGGCTCAGCCGGCAACCCTCCGCGGCGAGCCCCAATGCGATGGTCTTGCCGATGCCCCGGCTGGCGCCGGTGATCATCGCCACCCTTCCGGTCAGGCCCAGGTCCATGGTCCTTCACGATGCCACACGGGAGACATCTCCTTTCCGGGGCTTTCGGAACCCCAGCCAACTCCACTGGTCCGGATGGCGGCGCACCATTTTCTCGATCTCCTGAACGAACAGCCGGGCATTGGTGCGGAGGTCGGCCTCCCGGTCGTCGGTCTCAACGAATTTGACTTCGGGTTCGACCTGAAGCGTCAGCCGATTCTCCGCATCGCGGACCATGAAGACCGGAAGCACGGCAGCGCCCGTGCGTTGGGCGATGGTAATGGGTCCTTTGGGCGCCGGAGCCCGGCGGCCGAGAAAATCCACCTCAACTCCGTGGGTCTTGAACTCGTCCGGGATCAGCAGAACGATCTCGTTACGCCGCAGCGCCTTGATGATCTGCACGACGGCCTGGCGGGCGGGACGGGCCGGTATGATCTTGACCCCGGCCCTGGCGCAGTATTCGGTCTGCAACTCGGCAAACCGGGGTTCCTGCGGCATCTTGACGACGGCGCTGAATTCATAGCCTTGGGCCACGAGCCGGGGACCGATGATTCCGAAGTTGCCGAAGTGGGCGCTCAGGGCGACGACGCCCTTCTTCCGGGCGAGGGCCTCGCGCAGGCGCTCCTCGCCCTTGATCTCGATTCGCGAGCACAACTCGTCGTGGGTCATGTGCAGGGTGGAGAGGGTCTCGATGAGCGCCTGTGTGAAGTTTCGCCAGGCCCGGCGCACCACGGTGCGGCGTTCCCCCTCGGTGGGCAACTCTCCGCCCATGGTTTGCCTGATGGTGTCGCGCATCCGCTTCCGGTATCGCCAGAACAGCAGGATGCTCACCGTTTCGGTCAAATTGGCGATGTAAGGCGTGGCCCATGCCGGAAGCCAGCGGAGAGTGGCGACGAGGGCCCGCACCAGGTATTCGCCGGCTCGATAGCGAAGGCGATAGGGCAGGCGGCTGCGTCTGTCGGGTCCGCCTGTTCTCATTCTACGAGGCTTGTCCCGGCAGAGTTTCCCTGGTTCCCACCCGGCCCAATGCGGACAGCCCTTGCAGGCGTTGGACAATGCCGGGAATCTTGTCCGCCGCGAAAGCGATTTCCGCCGGGGTGTTGTAGCGGCTGAGACTGAACCGCACCGCCCCTTGCAGCCATTGCGGCGGCACCTTCATGGCCCGCAGCACGTGGGACGGCTCCACCGAGCCCGCGGTGCAGGCGGAGCCGGTGGAGGCGCAGATGCCGAACTCATCCAGCAGCACCAGAATCGACTCGCCCTCCAGGTATTCGAAGGCGATGTTGAGCGTGTTCGGCAAACGGTTCGACTTTGCCCCGTTGACCCGGGCCCCCGGGCAGGCGGACACGAGGGATTTCTGCAGTTGGTCACGCAGACCGCCCACGTGCTCGCGTTCCGCGGCGACGTCCTTGGCGGTGAACTCCGCGGCCTCGCCCATGCCCACGATGCCGGCGACGTTCTCCGTTCCGGCGCGGCGGTTGCGCTCCTGATGGCCCCCGACGATGAAGGGGCGGAGTGTGATCCCCCGCCGGACGTAGAGCGCTCCCACGCCCTTGGGGCCGTGGAACTTGTGGGCGGAGACGGTCAAGAGGTCGATGGGGCTGTTCTTCACATCGAGCTCGATCTTGCCCGGCACCTGCACCGCATCCACGTGGAAAGGGATGCCCCGAGCCTTGACGATCTCGCCGGCCTCGCGCACCGGGAAGACCACGCCGGTCTCGTTGTTGGCGTACATGATCGAGACCATGGCGGTGTCGTCCGAGAGGGAATCCCGGAGCTCGTCCAGGTCCAGCATGCCGTCCTCGTTCACCCCCAGCCAGGTGACCCGATAGCCCTTCTTCTCCAGGTGTTGTCCGAGCCCCAGCACCGCGGGATGCTCCACCGCCGTGGTGACGAAGTGGCGCTTTTCCGGCGCGCCTTCGAGGATCCCTCGAATGGCGGTGTTGTCCCCCTCCGAGCCGCAACTGGTGAACAGGACCTCGACTTCATCGCCGGCGCCCAGAAGTCCGGCCACCTGCGTCCGGGCGTGGTCGAGGGCCCGCCCCACCCGGCTCCGAAGCTGTGGATGCTGGACGGGTTGCCGTACAGCTCGGTGAGATAGGGCGCCATGGCCTGGTAGGCCTGCGGCTCGATACGCGTGGTTGCGTTGTTGTCGAAATAGATGACGTCGGACATGGCGTGTGACCCACCGGATCATGGACTAGTGTGGTGTCTCACAAATACGGTTATGAAGTGCGAGGGCATTTTGGTTGTCGGCAAGGCGTCCTTCGACTCGCTGCGCTACGCTCAGGACGAGCAGTGGCCGTTACCACGCGAGGAAGAACAACGCAGCCGACGGCCAAAGGACCCGCAGATTCGTAAGCGTATTTGTGAGACACCACACTAGCGTTGCATTTCATGGAGCCCGGCCACGGGCGGGTTTGAAACCCGCCCCTACAAGTCGTCGGGGCCTCGCCGGGCGACGCCGGTCTCAGACCACGAACGAGGCGCCGCAGCCGCAACTGCGCTTCACGTTGGGGTTCTGAAATACGAAGGCCGCCTCCATGAGGGTTTCCCTGTAGTCGAGCTCGGTCCCTCCCAGGTAGAGCAGGCTTTTCAGGTCGACGATCACCTTGGCGCCCTCTTCCTCGAAACACGCGGTCGTGGGCTTCGGGTTGTCGAGATCCATCTTGTACTGCAACCCGGAACAGCCGCCGCCCACGACCTTGAGGCGCAGACCGGTAAGCTCCCGCTCGTCCTGACCGAGCAGCTCCTTGATCCGGTTGGCTGCCTGTTCCGTTATTTGAACCGCTGTCGCCATCTTGTTTTTCCTGTACGCCGTCAGCGCCCCTGCCTCGACGGCATGCTATTTCCCGGCGGCTGCCGCCGCACGCCTTGTTCCTGCCGACCGCTTGGCATAGAGCGGCGAGAGCCCGCGCAACCGGGTGACTTCCTCCTCCACCCGGCGCACCACGAAGTCTACCTCTTCCTCGGTATTGAATCGACCCAGGCCGAAGCGGATGGAGCCGTGGGCGAGATCTTCCCCGGACGCCCATCGCCTTGAGCACGTGGGAGGGCTCCAGCGCCGCGGAGGTGCAGGTGGAGCCGGAGGAGACCGCGACGTCGTTGAGGCCCATGATCAGCGACTCGCCTTCCACGTATCCGAAGGCCACGTTCAGGTTGCCGCACAGACGCTCGGTGGGGTGCCCGTTCAGGTGGAGCTCGTCGAGCCGCTCGAAGAGGCTGGTTTCGAGCCGGTCGCGCAGGCTGGTGATATGGGGCAACTCGGTAGCCATGTCGGTCCGCGCCAGCTCGCAGGCCTTGCCGAACCCCACGATGCCGGGAACGTTCAGGGTGCCCGACCGCATGCCACCCTCGTGGCCGCCGCCGTGGATGGTGGGGCTCAACCGCACCGGCGGCTTTCTCGCGCTCACGTAGAGCGCCCCGACGCCCTTGGGGCCGTGAAGCTTGTGAGCGGTCATCGAGAGCAGGTGAATCCCGCACGCCGCCACGTCGATGGGCATCTTCCCGACTGCCTGGGTCGCGTCCGTGTGAAAGAGCACGCCGCGCTCCTGGGCGATCCGGCCGATCTCCGCCAGCGGCTGGATGGTCCCCACCCTCGTTGTTGGCCGCCATGATGGAGATGAGCAGCGTCTTGTCGTCGATGGCGGCCCGCAGCTTGTCGAGGTCCACGGTGCCGTGGGCGTCCACGGGCAGGTAGGTGACTCGATAGCCGTGGTGCTCCAGGAACTTGCAGCAGTCGAGAACCGCCTTGTGTTCGGCCGCGCACGTGATGATGTGGTCTTTCCGGTCCCCATAGAGCTCGGCGACTCCCTTGATGGCCAGGTTGTCCGACTCCGTCGCTCCGCTGGTGAAGACGATCTCCTTCGGAGCCGCGCCGATCAGGCTGCCGACGTTCTTGCGCGCCTGGTGCACCGCCGCCTCGGCCTCCCAGCCGAACGCGTGCTTGCTGGCCGAGTTGCCAAACTGCTCGGTAAAGAACGGCAGCATGGCATCCACCACGCGGGGGTCCACGGGGGTCGTCGCATGGTTGTCAAAGTATACCGGGAGCTTCACGGAACTGTACCTCCAAACAATTCATTTAGGCCCTAAGTCCCGTGAATGTCAAGAAAGAGCCCGGGAGGCGTCCGGAAGGCCGAACCACCCGTGACGTTGCCGGAGCGAACAGCCAAACGTCATGTCCCGGGAGCAAGGGCAGCCTGCCCTCGCCGCTTCGTAAAGCGTATTTGGAGACACCCGACACTAGGTCCCGAGCCACGGCCGTCGGGTGGCGGCCCAAGCCCTACCCATTAAGCGGTACTGACGGTGGGCGGATCCGGCCACCGCCATGATCTCTTCGGGGGTGCCCGCGGCCACCACGTACCCGCCGTTCTCGCCGCCTCGGGTCCGAGGTCCACGATGTAGTCGGCGCATCTCAGGAAATCCGGATTGTGCTCGATGGCGATGACGGTATGGCCGGATTCCACCAGGCGGTCCAGGATCTCCACCAGCCTGTCCACTTCCTCGAAGTGCAGCCCGGTGGTGGGTTCGTCGAAAAGGTACAACACCTTGCCGGCGGAGTTCTTTCCCAACTCCCGGGCCAGCTTGACGCGCTGGGCCTCCCCGCCGGACAGGGTGGTGGCCGGCTGCCCCAGCCGTAGATAGCCCAGTCCGACTTGCCACATGCTGTCGAGCCGCCGCCGCACCAGCGGTACGTTCCCCAGGAAGTCCAGGGCTTCGGTGACCGTGAGGTCGAGAACGTCCGCGATGCTGGCCCCCTTGTACTGGATCTCCAAGGTTTCCCGGTTGTACCGCCGCCCGCCGCAAACGTCGCACCCCACCGACACGTCCGGCAGAAACTGCATCTCGATCTCCACGGTTCCGGCCCCGAGGCAGGCCTCGCACCGCCCGCCCGCGGCGTTGTAGGAGAAGCGCCCGGGGCCATAACCCCGCATCCGGGCCTCGGGGAGGCGCGCGAAAAGGTTCCGCAAGGGATCGAAGAGTCCGCCGTAGGTGGCGGGGGTGGAGCGGCCGCTGCGCCCGATGGAGCCTTGATCCACGTGGAGGACCCGGTCGAAGACATCGAGCCCGGAGACCGGGCGGAGGCCGCGCCGCTCCGTGCGGCCGGCTTTGCCCTGTTTTTGCGGCGGACGCCGCGGCGGGCCGCCGTAGCCGCTGCGCCGCGTCATGGAGGGTATCCACCACGAGGCTGCTCTTGCCCGATCCGGACACGCCGGTGACACAGGTCATGAGGCCGATGGGGAAGTCCACATCGATGTTCTTGAGGTTGTGGCGGCGGACCTTCCGGAGCGAGAGAGTGCCGGACGCCGTCCGGCGCGCCCGAGACCCCGGCGGGCCGGCATCGGCCAGATACGGCCCGGTCCGGGAAGCGGGGCTCCGGCGTACGTGGTCCACGCTCCCGGCGGCGAGGACGACTTCTCCGCCCGCGGCGCCGGCGCCCGGCCCCATGTCGATGACGTGATCCGCCGCCATGATGACGTCCCGGTCGTGTTCCACCACCAGCACCGTGTTGCCCGCGTCCTTGAGCCGCCGCAGGATGCCGAGAAGCCGCGCGGTGTCCCGGGGTGGAGCCCCACGGTGGGTTCGTCGAGCACGTAGATCACCCCTGACAGCCGGGCGCCGATGTGGGCGGCAAGCCGGATCCTCTGGCACTCGCCTCCCGACAGACTGTCGGAGGACCGGCCGAGGGACAGATATCCCAGCTCCAACTCGAGCAGGGTGTCGGTTCGCTCCCGTATCTCCCGGAGGATGTTGCCGGCGACCGCGGTCTCGCGGTCACCCAGGGCCACGTCTTCGATAAAGCCGCTGAAGTCATTCAGGGACAAGGCCGACACCTGCCCGATGTCCATGCCGCTGATCCGTACCTGAAGGCTCTCGCTCCGCAGCCGGGCGCCGGCGCACTTGGGACAAGGCCGTGGGGAAGCGTCCGCCGGAGCCGCGCCGCCACGGGAGCGCCCCGGGGGCCGGACGCCGAGGCCGTTACAGGAAGGGCAGGCGCCGTGCGGGCTGTTGAAGGAAAAGAGTTGCGGCACCGTTTGGGGGAACGGCGCGCCGCACTCCAGACACGCGGATCGCTGGGTGTAGCGGCGGGACTCCGTGGCGGGCGCATCGTGCGCGTCGATCTTCACCACCTCGTCCCCGTGCTTCAGGGCCACCTCGATGGAATCGGCGAGCCGCTTGGCGACGCCGTCCCGCATCGCCAGCCGGTCCACCACCAAGTCGGCTCGCGCCAGCGAAGCCGAGCCCGCCAAGTCGGCTCGCCCCAGCGAGGCCGAGCCGGCCAGGTCCGCTCCGCCGGGTGACGCCGAGCCGGCCCAGTCGGCCAGCTCCAGGACCTCCCCGTCCACCTTGATGCGGACGAACCCGGCCCGGATCACCGTCTCGATCTGTTGCTGGAATTCGGTGGGGTCGGTACACGGCAGCGGCGCCAGCACCTGGATGCGGGTGCCGGAAGGGAGCTTCAACAGGTCGTCCACCATCTGCTGGACCGTATGCACCGTGATGGCGCTGCCGCAGCGTTGGCAGTAGGTCCGGCCCACGTGGGTGAACAGCAGCCGCAGGTGATCATGGATCTCGGTCAGCGTCCCCACCGTGGACCGGGGGTTTTTCGTGGAAGCGGCGTTGCGGCACGGCGATGGCCGGAGAAAGCCCCTGAATGGAATCCACATCGGCTCTGGCCAGCGGATTCAAGAGCTGGCGCGCGTAGGTGGACAGGGACTGCATGTAATGCCGTTGGCCCTCGGCATAGACGGTGTCGAAGGCCAGCGAGGATTTGCCCGAGCCGGAGACCCCGGTGACCACCACGAGTTTGTCGCGGGGGATCTCGACGTCGACGTTCTTGAGGTTGTGGACGCGGGCGCCCTTGACGACGATGTTCATGAAAGCCGGCCCTTTTCCGTGGGTCTCCGTTGTCGGCGCAATCCCGGTAGGTCGGATTAGCGAAGCGTAATCCGACATCTTCCCGGGCTGGGGTTGTCGGATTTACGCTTCGCTAATCCGACCTACACGCTAGTGTGGTGTCTCACAAATACGCTTACGAATCTGCGGGTCCTTTTGGCCGTCGGCTGCGTTGCTCTTCCTCGCGTGGTAACCGCCACTGCTCGTCCTGAGCGTAGCGCAGCGAAGTCGAAGGACGCCTTGCCGACGACCAAAATGCCCTCGCATCTTCGTAAGCGTATTTGTGAGACACCACACTAGTGATCAGGGTCTTTCTTGCTGTCGGCTGCGTTCCTCCTCCTCGCGTTGCGTCCGCCACACGGGCGGGTTTGAAACCCGCCCCTACAACCGCCACGCTCGGAGGCCTTGGTGGACTGTCCCGCAAATGCGCCATGGTGCTCAGGATTTTTGCGGTCCGCAAGACGTGACGACCCGTAGGGGCGGGTTTCAAACCCGCCCGTGCCCGTGTCGGCAGAACCCCCGGCGTGTCAGAGTGCGCCCCCCGGTTGCCGCCGTGCCAGCTTCGCCGCCAGCAGGATCGCCTGCTTCATGCTGCGGGGGTCGGCCATGCCCTTGCCGGCGATATCGTAAGCGGTCCCATGGTCCACCGAAGTTCTGATGATGGGGAGGCCGAGGGTCAGATTGACGCCGTCGGTGAAGTGCAGCAGCTTGAACGGCCCGAGTCCCTGGTCGTGATACATGCCAGATGACGGCATCGTATTCCCCGGCCACCGCGCGGTGGAAAAGGCTGTCCGCTGGAACCGGACCGGAAACGCACATGCCCCGGCCCGAGCAATCGCGCACCGCGGGCCGGATCACCCTGCGCTCCTCTTGGCCGAACATGCCGTCTTCACCTCCGTGGGGGTTCAGCGCGGCCACCGCCAACCGCGGCTCCGCCAGGCCGAACCACTCCTGCAGCGACCGATGAGTCAGCTCGATGGTGGTGCGGATCCGCCTGCGGGTCAACGCCGCGGCCACTTCCGTCAGCGGCAGATGCACCGTGACCAGAACCACCTTGAGACGCGACCCGTACAGCATCATCCGAACTTCCCGTGTACGGGTGAGGTCGGCCAACAACTCGGTGTGCCCGGGCCAGGCGTGGCCGGCGTCGTTCAGCGCCTTCTTGTTGATGGGCGCCGTGGCCATGGCAGTCGGCGCCGCCGGCGCCGATGAGCTCCACCGCCCGGAGGATGTAACGGTAGGATGCTTCGCCGCCGTTCCGGGTGGAACGGCCGGGCCGGACGGCGTCGGGCTTCAGGCGCGTGACGGATTCCACCAGCACGGGAGCGTCGGTAGGGGCGGCGGAACCGGATTCCCGGTTCGGCCATCGGGGGGCGTGGGCGCGCTCGAGCAGCGCTGCATCGCCGACATCACCATACGGCAGGCGCGCCGCACCGCCGGGTCCCGGGCCGCCTTGACGGCTACCTCGGGCCCGATGCCCGAGGGATCGCCCATGGTTACGGCCACGACGGGTTTGGACATGGCGATAGCGGTGAATCAGTGCGAACGGATGGAGGATCAGGGTGCGGGCGTGTCGCGTTCGAAGGACTGATCCAGGGGCACGTCCTCATCGTCTCCGGCTTCAGTGGTGAACACCGGTATCCCGAACAGTTTGACCCGCTTGCGGTCGCCGACGACGCCGGTCTTGTCGGGTATGACTCCTCTTGATAGATGTATGTCAGCGGGTTGAGGTAGTCCCAGAAGCCCTTGTCTTCTTCGTCCGCCGTGGCCGTGGCCATCAGACTGCCGACCGTACCCCTCTCGGCCTCCTGCGCCTCGAAGGCATACCCTTCCAGCTTGACTTCCACGCGATGCTTCTTCCGCAAGTCGGTCTTGAGCCACTTGGCGAATCTTTCCTGGAGCGTCTTGTTGTAGAGCTCGTCCCGCGCCTTCTCCGAAACCGCCGCGAACGGCAATCGCTCCCCGCCCTTCCGGTCTTCCGCCCGGACCAGGTGGTATCCCAGGTTCGTGCGAACCGGCTGGCTGAGCTCTCCCTTCTTCAGGGTGGCGGCAACCCGGGCGAGGGAGTCGGGCAGGCTCTCGGGTTTGATCCAGCCGATATCGCCGCCTTCGCCGGCTCCCGCGCCCTCGGATTGGGAGCGCGCCAACGCGGCGAAGTCCGTTCCTTCCACGACCTGCCGGCGCAGCTCGCCGACGCGCGACAGCACGGCCTGGGCCTGCTCCTGCGAGGCGCCGTCGTCGACCCCCAACATGAGATGACGGAGATGCACCTGGAGCTCGTTCCGGTACAAGTCCGGGTTGGCGTCATAGTAACGTTGCGCGTCCTGGATCGTGATGTGAATCCTTTTCCTGACGTTACGCTGGATCAGCTCGTCCTGCTCAATGCGGGCGCGGACCTCTTCGCGGTACTGGTCCATGGTCTTGCCGTCCTGCTTCAACAGGGCGTCGAACTGCGTGGGGGTCAGGTCATTCCGTTCCTGACCGCCTGGATGTACTTGTCGATGTCCGTGTCGCGCACGCGGATGCCGGTGTTCTTGACCTCGGCCGTTATGAGCTGGTGGGTAATGAATTCCTCCAGCCACTGCTTGGGCACGCGCCCCGCCGTCAGCTCATCGAGCTCGACGTCCTGCTTCAGCTTGGTCCGGGCGAATTTTCGGAGATCCGAGAACGTATTGGGGACACCGTTGACAACCACGACGATCTTCTCGACGAGACTTCCGGGTGAGGATACGGGGAAGAGCGCGAGAAGGGCGAGGAAGGCGAGGACGGTTGTCGTGCACAAGCCGCGCCGCAAGCCGGAAGTCGTTGTCGCAAGCCAGTTTATGGGTCTGATCATGGGTCTGGTCCTTCGCCGGATAACATACATTCCTAGTTGACGACGTGCAATAACTCACAAGCCTCGTCGATGAGGCCGGGCCAGTCCGTATGGTCGGGGGTGAACGCCAGCCGTCCCTCCGGCGAGAACTGGAAGCGCCGGTGATCCTCCTGCGCGAGCTTGAGCAGCCGGTCCACGTTCAGTTTTGAGGTGGCATGGAAGGTCAGCGACAAGCGCCCGCTCTGGTAGATGATCTGGGTGGCCAGGGCCTGGATGAGGGCGCGCCTGAGCTCCATGACCCGGAACAGGTTTTCCGCCACCCGCGGGTAGCTGCCGTAACGATCGCGGATCTCGTCCCGGATCTCCGCCAGTTGCTCCGGATTCTCCAGGTTGGCGAGCCGCTTGTAGAACAGCAGGCGCTGGTTGGCGCTGGGTATGTAGTCGTCGGGGAAGTAGGCGGGGATGCCCAGCCGAATCTCGGGCTCCACGTTGGCCCGGCGCTCCTCCCCCTTGAGCTCGTGAATGGTCTCCTCCATCATCTGGGTGTAGAGCTCGAAACCCACCGCGGCGATCTGGCCGGATTGCTCACGGCCCAGCAGGTTGCCGGCGCCGCGAATCTCCAGATCGTGCAGCGCCAGCTTGAAGCCGCTGCCGAGCTCATCCAGCTCCTGCAGCGCCCGGAGCCGCTTTTCCGCGTCCTTGGTCACGGTACCGCTCTCCGGAAGCAGCAGGTAGGCGTAGGCCCGGCGTGATGAACGCCCGACCCGGCCCCGCAGTTGATAGAGCTGGGCCAGGCCGAACCGGTCCGCGCGGTTGATGATGATGGTGTTGGCGTTGGGATAGTCCAGGCCGGATTCGATGATGGGCGGAGCACACCAGCACCTGGGCTTCGTTCTCCTGGAACAGGCCCATGTTCTTCTTGAGCTCCACCGGCGTCATCTGCCCGTGGGCAATGGTGACCTTGGCCTCGGGCACCAGGTCCATGATCTTCTGGCCCATGCGCTGGATGCTCTCCACCCGGTTGTGCAGGAAGAACACCTGCCCCTCGCGGTTGATCTCCCGCAAGATGGCGTCGCGGATCACGCCCTCGTCGTAGCGGGTCACGTAGGTCCTTATGGCCAGCCGGTTGGGGGGCGGTGTCTCGATGACACTGAGGTCCCGGATGCCCACCAGCGACATGTGCAGGGTCCTGGGGATGGGCGTCGCGGTGAGGCTCATGACATCCACGGTGTAGCGGATCTGCTTGAGCTTCTCCTTGTGGCTTACGCCGAAGCGGTGTTCCTCGTCGATCACCACCAGGCCCAGGTTCTTGAAGGCCACGTCCTTCTGCACCAGCCGGTGGGTGCCGATGACGATGTCGATGAGCCCGGCGGCGAGGTCCTTGAGCGACTGCTGCACGGCCTTGCCGGTGACGAAACGACTGAGGCTCTCCACCCGCACCGGATAGGGCTCGAAGCGGCCGCGGAAGGTCTCCAGGTGCTGTTGCGCCAGGATGGTGGTGGGGGCGAGCACGGCCACCTGCTTCCCGTCCATCACCGCCATGAAGGCCGCCCGCATGGCCACCTCGGTCTTGCCGTAGCCCACGTCGCCGCAGATCAGGCGGTCCATGGGCTTGCTCTGGGTCATGTCCTGGAGGGTTGCGGTGATGGCCTGCTCCTGATCGGGCGTTTCCTCGTATTCGAAGGCGGCCTCGAACTCCCGATACGTTTGATCGGGGACCGGGAAGTTGTGGCCCTCGTGCAACTCCCGGGTGGCGTAGACCCGCAACAGCTCCTTGGCCATGGCCACGATGGCCTTGCGCGTCCTGGCCTTGAGCTTGAGCCAGGAGGTGCCGCCGAGCCGGTCCAGAACCGGGGCGCCGCCCTCGGCGCCGATGAACTTCTGCACCAGATTGATGCGGTCGATGGGCAGATAGAGACGGTCGCCCCCCTGGTACTCCAGGTGCAGGAACTCGCCCTCGGTGCCCGCCACCTTGAGGTACTTGAGGCCGCGATAGATGCCGATGCCCTGGTCGAGGTGCACCACCACGTCGTCCTGCCGCAACTCGCTGAGGCTGGTGATGAAGTGGCCCGGGGTCTCCCGCTTGCGAACGGAGGGGTCGCGTTTCTTGCGCCCCCACAACTCCTCCAGGGTGATGATGACCAGCCCCTCGTCGGGTATGCGCACTCCCTGGGTCAGCCCCCCCAGCACGATCCGGGGTCCGTTGGAGGGGCCGGCCACGAATTCATGGAAGGACCCTTCGGAGATCGGAATATCCACCTGGTAATAGGCCAGCAGTTGCTGCAGCCGTTGCGCGTCACCCGGGTGTCCGCCCACGAAGAGCACCCGCTGGTCCCGCCATTGGTCCAGATGCTCCACCAGCGGGGCCAGGGAGCGTTCGGATCCCTGCTGGGTGGTGAGCTCGCTATGCAGGTCCGCGTTGGCGTAGGAGCGCACCGAGAGCGTTGACGAGGCGGCGTCGGGGGATGCGAGAACGTCCAGGCTTTCGCTGTGGATCTGCCGGAACGCCGCGGCCTCCTCGCGCCAGCCGTCCGGGTCCAGGTACAGGGCCTCGGCATGGGGGTGGAAGCGGCCCTCCGCCGCGGCCTTGGAGGCTCGTTGGGTCACCAGCTTCTCGAACCGCTCCAGCTCCTCCTCCACCCGGGCCGGCTGATCCCACCAGACGATGCCGCGCCGAGGCAGATGGGCGAGGATCGACGGCAGCGGGCGGTCGTAGAAGTAGGGCGCCAGGAACTCCATCCCGGCAAACCGCACGCCCTCGCGCACCGACTCCAGCAGCGCCCGCTTGTCCTTGCGGGTGAAGCCCAGGTCGTCCGCCCGCTCCTCGATCCGCGCCAGGGTCTCGCGGCTGGTCTGCGCCCCGGAGGCGAACTCCTTCATGGGCAGGAGCAACAGCTCTTCGTGGTGGGACCGGGAGCGCTGGGTCCGGGGGGTCGAACTCGCGGAAGGAATCGATGCGGTCGTCGGCGAACTCCATCCGCATGGGCCGGTCATAGGCCGGGGGGAAGATGTCCACGATGCCGCCGCGCACGCTGAAGTCGCCGCGTTCCTCCACCAGCGGGGCGCGGGCGAAGCCCAGGCTGGAGAGCTGCCACAGGAGTTTTTCCCGGTCGACTTCCTGACCCTCGATGAAGTGGGCGCTCCGGAAGCTCTCCCTGGGCACCACGCGCTGCATTACGGCGGCCGGGGTCGTCACCAGTAGCGGCGCCGGCTGTTGGGCGAGCCGGTGGAGGCTTTCCATGCGCGCGGCCAGGTGGTCCGGATTCGGGGAAAGGCTCTCGAAAGGCAGGATGTCCCACCCCGGGAACAGATGAAGCCGCCGCTCCAGCGGACGGGCCACGGCTTCTTCTCCCAGGAAGAAGGACAGGTCGAGGAAAAGGCGTTCCGCCTCCTTCACGGTGGGCACCAGGACCACCAGCGGACAGTCGAGATGCCGGGCCGCGAGAAAGACCGCATAGGCCTTGGCGCTGCCGTGCAGTCCGGAAATCCGCTTTTCGCCACGCCACTCATGAGTCAGTAGCTGCGAGATCTTGTCGTCGAGTGATAAGGGCGTCACAGGGCTGGATACCTCACGAGGAACGGTGGTGGAGTGTAGCCGAAGGAAGGCGGTAGCCGCAACGGCAGCGCCTCAATGTCCCTGGACTTCCCTGGTATCGGACGAGAAGGTGCCGCTAATGGAACGAAATGTTGTTGATCCAGCATGCTTCAATTCTCACATCTCACTGCCCTATGAACTGCGGATCGATGATTTTCGTCTCGCAATTCAGGACGCTTACGACTTTTTCTACGATGTGAATCGACATCTCACGTCGAAGGGACTCCAACGATTGGATGACATGCTACGTCCTGCCATCATGTCAGGTGTCTTGTCCGACATGCTGACCTCAAGCCTCGCCAGTCACGCGCGCGCTTGTTGAGAACCGCTATTTCAACGGTCACCCGGACCTCGTTGTGCAGGGCATTTATCCCAACAATGCCGTGAGGGCGGGAGAGGAGGGCGTAGAGATAAAAACCACTCGAAAGAAGGGCGGCGCAGTAGACACCCATGGCGCACGGAACCAATGGATGTGTGTCTTTGTATACGAAGTCGATCAGAAAACAGAGCCGGCATCAGATCGCAGACCGATGACGTTTAGCGAAGTGTATCTCGGAAACGTAACGACGGACGATTTTCGCAGGAATCCAAGGGGTGAGCTTGGGACCAGGACGGCCACGCTCCACGCGCAAGGAATCAGGAAACTGCGAGAACAGTGGATCTACAGGGTTGCTACTCCATAGTTGGTCAACTTCGGAATGGATTCAACGGCCAACGAAAAATAGTGGGGGTCTTGCTCGACGCCAACGCTTTCGTAGGACATGGCGTTACACGCGGCAAGCGTGGATCCCGATCCGGCAAATGGATCTAAAATCCTGCCCTCGCCAAGCGGCAGAATCCCCCTTACGACTTGGCGAAGAAACGCCTGTGGTTTCAGGCTCGGATGCGGGGCGATACGGCGTTCCGCCTTTCGGCTTGGAGCCGAAGGAATGACATCTCCGAATGGCTTTCCGGGTTCCGGACGACGAAAGCCGCCTGTTTTCCATTTTCGCAGGTTGTCCTGCACGCGCCCGTCCAATTGTTTCCTGAATACGAGCCAAGGTTCCCACATCGAACGCGGCATCACGCTGATATCGTGAAATTCTTCGTGCGCGCCTTTCGGGCGGTCGCCGCCGCGCATCGTCATGGTGAGGCGTACTATTTCGCCTCGCCGTTCCAGTCCGGCTTCCGACAATGCCCTGGCAACGATGTGCGAGACCAAGGGGTTTGACGCAACGATGACATTCGCACCCGGCACCAACACCGGCAGGAGCGAGCGCTGCCCAAGAGATAAAGAAATCCCGAAGATCGGCTAGTTGGACTGTGTCGAGCGTCGTGAAGCGGGGAATCGGGGAACGTTGGTGTCCATCGAACGACGGCGGAATGCGCCATACGCCCCCCTTCCCGGCGCGAAGTTTTCGCTGCTGTTCTTGCGTATATTCGTGCAGACCATAAGGAGGATCGGTGACCACCGCATGAATCGAGTCGTGTGGCTGTCGATTCAACCACGCGAAACAATCGTCGTGGTGAAGTTCGGACATCTGAAATGAGAAACTGTCTGCTCTCTTGTCGATTTCCGGAAAGGATTTCTGCCAGGGGTTTGAAGCCAGACGGCTCGCACGATACGCGCCCCGCGTCTCTCGGACGAAGAGTTCAGGGGTGTTCAGCCGAAGATATGAGCGCACGGAGGACGGGGGCGCGTCTCTGACCTGTTTTTGGACTTCCGCTATAATTGTGGCGACACTCAGGGAAGTAGGCGATTCGGACAGCACGCTAAGGATCGCGTCGCGTACCCGGCCGGGTGCGTTTTTTGTGTTTCTCGCCATCTCGATAACGTAGACGTCTGGACGTCTTTTGTCAAGGCGTCATGACCATAGCCTGCAGGCGCGACGAAATCACGTCCCTGGACTTCCCCGGTACGGGTACGATAAGGTGACACTCTTCGCTGACTCCCATTCCCACGGAAAAGGACCCCATCATGGCAAAACGGAACCCGAGGATCGCGACCGCGGTGCAGGCAATACCGGAGCGAGGCTACCCGGACTTGCACGAACATCTCCAGCGCCTGGACGACGCCGGGCTGCTGATCCGGGTGGCGCGCCCGGTGGACAAGGACCAGGAGATGCACCCGCTGGTGCGCTGGCAGTTCAGGGGAGGGATCAAGGAACGGGACCGGAAGGCGTTCCTGTTCGAGCAGCCCGTGGACGCCAAGGGCAAACGCTACGACATCCCGGTGGCCATCGGGGTACTGGCGGCCAACCGGCGCATCTATCGCATCGGGTTGGGGTGCGACGAAGACACCGACATCAACGCCTTGTGGAGCGAGGCGAGAACGAACCCCGTGGCGCCGGTGGAGATCCCCTCGTCGGCCGCGCCGGTGCACGAGGTGATCATCTCGGGAGCGCAGCTCAAGAGCCGGGGCAAGGGCATGGACGGCATCCCGGTTCCCATATCCACGCCCGGCTGGGACAACGCGCCCTACGTGAGCGCGGCCCATTTCGTCTCACGCGATCCCGACAGCGGGGTGTACAACATCGGCACCTATCGGGCCATGATCAAGGCCCGGACCCGGGTCGGGTGCAATCCGTCCATCGAGCTGGGGCAGGGGATCTACCGGCATTGGCTGAAGTACCGGGAGCGGGGCGAGAAGATGCCGGTGGCGCTGTGCATCGGCGGCGTGCCCGCCATCTCCTACGTGGCGGCGCAGAAGCTTGCCTACGACCTCGACGAGTTCTCGGTGGCCGGCGGCCTGGTGAAGGCGCCCATCCGGGTGACTCAGGCCCGCACCGTGCCGCTGATGGTGCCCGCGGACGCGGAGATCATCGTCGAGGGCTTCGTCTCCACCGAGTGGCTGGAGCCCGAGGCGCCGTTCGGCGAGTCCCACGGCCACGTCAACCCCAAGGAATACAACCCGTTCATGGAGGTCACCTGCATCACCCGGCGCCGCGACGCCATCCTCTGCTCCATCATCAGCCAGATGACGCCGTCGGAGTCGAGCGTGATCAAGAAGATGGCCTACGAGCCCCTCTACCTCGAGCACCTGCGGGACGGCATCGGCGTGAAGAGCGTCGTGCGGGTGATGCTCCACGAGCCCTTGACCGCAACACAGAAGCTCACGGTGATCCAGATGCGCAAGCCCAGCCCCGCGGAGGTGTGGCGCGCGCTCATGGGCGCGGTGGCCTTTCCGTCCCGCCATGTCGAAAATCGTCATCGCGGTGGACGAGGACATCGACCCCGACAACCTCGACGCCGTGTTCTGGGCCATGGGCTATCGTTCCAAGCCGCACCGTGACGTACAGATCATGCACGGCATGGACGTGGGCCACGCCCCCCGGCACGATGCTCGTGGTTCCGCGGACGACTCGTGCCTCTTGTGGGACGCCACCCTCAAGGAGAAGCTGCCGCCCATCTCCCTCCCCACCCGGGAGTACATGGAGCGGGGCCGGGCGCTCTGGGAGGAGCTGGGACTGCCGGAGCTGGAGCCCCAAACGCCATGGTTCGGCTACTCGCTCGGAGACTGGAACCCGGAGCTGGAGGAGCAGGAGGGACGCCCGTGCGCCACCCGCGGAATCCTGAAGACGGCGCGAAGATCGCACGCCAGCGCCGCTCCACCAAGGAGATCCTGCCCAACACGTCCTTCTACGGCGAGGACGAGGATTGACCGGGGCCGCCGAATCCGTCTGATCTTCATTCCTCGTGTGCGGTGTCCGATTTGCGTCCGCCGCATGACCGAAAGGACCGTGAACCATGGACTACAAGACGCTGAAATGGACGAACGACAATCCGTGCTGCGGCCGGGGAGCTGCATCGGGCGTATCACCTGGAACGCGTCCGGATCAGCTCAACGCGGTGGACCCGTTGATGCGGCTGGAGCTCGATGCCCTGTGCAACGAGATCGCGCGCAACTCCGTCCTCAAGGTGGTGATCCTTACCGGCGAGGGGCGCGGCTTCTGCGCCGGCGGCGACCTCACTTCGGAGGGGGCCGTGCTGGGGGCGTTCGAGGGGTCCAGCGGCATCGAGGGCCCCTACAAGGAGTTGGCGGAGTATGCCCTGAACGATCTCAGGCACCGGGTGCTGCAGAGCGCCATGCGCAAGCTGGAGGATCTGCCGCAACCCACCATCGCCGCGGTGAACGGGCCGGCCGTGGGGGTGGGGCTGGAGATGACGACCCTTTGCGACATGCGCCTGGCGTCGGACCGCGCTCGCTTCGGCGAAGTGGCGGTGCCGGCGGGGTTCGTTCCCGAGAGCGGCGGTTCACGCAACCTGCCCAAGCTCGTGGGCATCGGCCGGGCCATGCGCCTGATCCTCACCGGCGAGATCATCGACGCTCAGGAAGCGTTGCGCATCGGGCTGGTGGACGAAGTGGTGCCGCACGAGGAGTTGATGGAGCAGGCCTTCTCCCTGGCCGGCAAGATCGCGGCCAACCCGTATCTGTCCGTGGCGCCACAGCGAGCGGCTGATCAGATGTACTGGCAACTGGCAACCGGAGACCGACGAGATAGGGCTATCGCGAGAGCTGGTGGAGTGCGGTCTCGACGATCCACCAGCACCAAGGACTGCCAGAAGGCATGCGGGCGTTCAAGAAAAGCGTCCCGACCCACTACACATATCCCGTAGACGGGGCTGGCGTTCACGGGCAAAGCAGGCGAAGAAGAAGGAGTGAGGGGAGCAGGAAACACGGCGCCCTCGGGTACGACTTCGGACTAAAACCGACCTACGTCGGAGAATGCAGTTCCGGACAAGGCAGGAGGGCAAAAGGAAAGAGGAAGGAGTAGGTCGGCTTAGCGAAGCGTTAATACGAAATGCGAGGCAGGCGTGTTATCGGAAACCCCGGAAGCATGAAAGAGTTCCGGCAAAAACAAACAAAATCAAAACAATATAAAACAAATATAATCGACATGCGGAACTAAAACTCAGCAAACTCCCCAAGGCAATAATATCAACAACAACAATATTACATGTTCTGTTAAAGGGGCCCCTCTAGATGCCAATAACAAGACAAACCGACACCACGGTCAAAATAAAAAACAAAAAAAAACTTTAAAAAATAAATAATACCCCCATCAAGTGGCAAAACAAAAAAGGCAAGGGAAGAGATAAATCAAACGGTTGGGCAAAACAAATAAATAAAGGGAGAAAAACAAAACAACTACAAAAGAAATAAAAAGGAAAGGACACAAATCACACAATAGTGGCGAAGAAAAAGCGAAATAAACACAACACAAAACCAGAAAGAAAAAAGCAAAACAACAGGAAAGCAAAAGGACAAATTCGAACCGAAGGACACAAAAACAAGCACACTAAATACACAGAACCAGAACAACTCAATAAAATAATCCCCCAAGACGGCTCATCAAAAGGGTGAATAACACAGGAAAAGAACACAAAAGGTGAAAAACAAAAGGAGGACGCTACAAGGGCAACCCCAAAAAAAAAACAAAAAAAAAAAGGGGATGCGGGACAAACCGCTGACTAACAGGAAAAACATAAAAATAAAACAAAAAAAAAAAAAAAGAAAAAAAGGAAACAAAACCGAGGACAAAAAAAAAAAAAAAAGGAACACGAGGAAGCAAAAATAGGCACAAACAAATAACGGAAAAAAAGGGGAAATGAAAAAACCAAAGGAAAGAAAAAAAAAGCAGGGGCAAAAAATAAAAAGGGGAGGAATAAAAAAAAGAAAAGGATAAAAAAAAATCAAGGGTAGGCTCCACAGGGAAAAATTAAAAAAAACAATGAAAAAAACAAAAAAAACCAAAAACAACCCCCAATTACCACACTTTTAAAAAAAAATTAACCTTAAAAAAAAAAACAAACAAAATTAAACAAAAAAATCAAAAAAAAAACAAATTTATTTTAAAAAAATACAAAAAAAAAAAAAAACAAAAAAAAATTTTCCCATTCCCGTGAAGGGCTATAGAGGACCTTCCCGACCATCAACATAGTTCGAACGACGTTGCTGAGCGTCGGTCGCCGCGGGTCCCCGGTGCTCGCCCGGCATGCTGGGGCGCGGCGGGCTCTCTCAGCTACCGAGAACTTCGCGGCAAGGTGCATGCTTAGACCGGGTTTGAAGGAGATGGGGGGGATCCACGGGGACCCGGTGCTCATGCAGATGCCCAAATCGCGGAGTTCGCCACGGCTTTTGGCCCGCCGTGTGAGCTCGGCGCCTTTGCACGTGAGTGGTACAAATCGCTTTTTGGGGGTGCGCGGGAAGCTCAAGGCCAGCCGGAGCAGACCAAGCCCCGTTCGCGATCACCGAGGGCTCCCGCGCCCCAGGCCCTACGCCGCTTTCGCGGCCTTGGCAACCGACCACCCCCCCTACGGAACCTGTATGCGAACGGGGCGGCGCGAGCGACGACGGTACCCGTTACGATTCCTATGCCCCCGAATCGCGCGCCAAGACCGCCGCCACCAGAGCTACCTCGGCCCCACGAGCGCCGGCCTTTATGGTATGCACGTCCGGCTACCACCGGACGCCCCAAGTGACGTCCATGCCCACCGGTGGATCGTGGCGTTGGGGGATCTGAACCCGCTTACCGGCTTCTCCGGAAGCAGGGCGACGTGGTGATGGCCAAGGGGCGAGTGGGTTCATCAAGCCCCACCGCCCTGGGGCCACAACCTGCTATTCCCGCTCCGGAACGGGTCACATGGGGCCGGTTGGCTATCGGGGCGGCGCCAAGCCCCGAGAACGATGCGGAAGGCCCGTGGCGGCCCTGGGCGTAACCCTGATGCCATTCCGTGGCACTGTCTTTGGGATTTGCTGGCCACCAGACGGGCACTGGAGAAAGGTATGATATCGGGACGCTCCGAGGCGTGCACTCACCGGCGAGGCGCTTCGCGAAGGCGACGTAACCCGCCAGTGGAAAGAGCGCTTCGCCTGCGAAGATGTACGGAACATTACGGGCGTATCGGAATATCAGAGAGTGGTCGGGCAGGGGGGCCCGACATCGGTGAAGCCCGGCATCGTGGGAAGTGCGGCCCCGGGATGGGCTTCGACATCGTCGGCGACGAAGGCCCGCCACCGTGGTGCCGGCCAGCGGTAGGGCGGCACGGTATCTCAACCGAACGACCCCGGGGGGACTGTTCCTCGAATAACACGCCGACACGGCATAACGAGGAGGGGATCGCAGAGACGGGGTCTACGACACCGGCGATTGGCGTACCGCGGAGGATGACGGGGGTTATTTCTTAATCGGCCGCGCCGTACGACGACTGCTTTCAGACCACGAGGATTGTTAGCGGGTTCCGCAAGAGGTGGAGCCAACCGAGCTACAGCGACCATGCACGAGGTAAGCAGAGGCGGGGGTCGTGGCCCAGAGCCCGATCAGGAGACGGCAAACAGCGTGGTGGGTGTGGTCGTGCCGGAGGCAGGGTGGTGAGCATAGGAACGGGCTGGCGAGGCGCTACGCCAGAGCCTCCGGGGGAACTGGCACACTACAAGGTCCCCTCCGCATCGGTTTCGTCGAGTCATTCCCAAGAGGGCCCCGTGGGAAAGAAGAAGAAGGGGATAGAGGTACTGCGGCGTAAAAGACAAACGATGAAGAGAACCGAGCGAGGATAACACAAAAAAAAACACTGGCGGGAAAAGAAGGTGGGTGGCCGCGGCCAGGACCCTCGATGTAGTAAGGCCTTTGAAATCGCCGCGGTTATACCTAGCAATGGGTTGGTGTCTCAGCCGCACGGTCAACGGCGGCCGAGTTGTAACAGCTCGGTGGGCGGGCCTACGTGGTCGTCAACGTGAAGGCTGGTTTCTCACCGACAGGCCCCAGCTGTGGTCTTGATCAGAGCAAAT